TAAAAAAATTTTTGAAAAAGAATTCTGGATTAATGTTGAGAACTATCTAAGTATTGATTGTTTGGACATTATTACACCATTTAATACCATTCCTAATGACATGCTTTGAATTTGTTCCTTTGCCCATTTATTTTTGTACTAGACTTATTCCTCATTGATTACCTTTTTCTCAATTTACCTTGTGCTATCTTATTTTTCCATCCCTAAAAATGATAATTATTGAATGATAATGTTCATAAAAGATTCATGTTTTTCTTTGAAAATAAATCCATAATGGTAGGGGTAAAAAAAAATGAAGAGATGGCAAAAACCTAAAAAGATAATTTAAAATGACACATGATGTGACCAAGTGATAAATTGTGAGTTATGATCAAATGATCAAATTGATCACAATGGATTAGTTGGCATAAATTGTGAGTTATGATCAAATGATGGAAATAATGTGAATCAGTAGACAAAAATTATTCTGAAATTGCTAGTGTTGTGAAGCCTATAAGTTATGATCAAGTGATAAAAATAATATGGAATAGTTGATAGAATTTGTTCTGAAATTGTTAATGTCGAGATGCTAAAAAAAGGACAAGATGAGATGGTGGAGTCTTAAAAATCATATTACCACAATTAATTAAAATTTCATGACATTAACGACATCTGCATTACATGCATTATATTTGCATTGTAGTTTGAACAATACATGTATATAATTTGGTAAATATTTGATATTGGCTGACCATGCATTTGCCTCATTTAGTGAATATTTAAATTATAGTTTCAAATATGGCATCTGCATTATTATGAGAATCTAGATTGTTGCATTTGTATCATGATCATGATGTTTTTTATATACAAAATTTTGACTTTGATGAAAGATTGAGAATTTTCATGATAAGAAATTTTAAACTTTTGGAGGAAACTTTTTAAGATAGGGTTGGGAATCCTTGAATGAAAAAATGTTTTATGAGAAAAACATTAAGAATCCTAAAGTTGTGGAGCTTTTTAAAAGAGCAATTTTAATGTTAAAGATAATGAAAAGCTTTGAAATTTTGGATTGAACTCCTAAATTTTTTAAATGAGAACCTTTGAATTTAGATATAAAACTCTAAAATCTATCGAATAGGAATATTTGAATTTGAATTAGAAGCTTTGAACTTGTGGATGTGAACTCCAAATTTTTTGAATGAGAACCTTTAAATTTAGATAAGAAATTCTAAAATCTATCGAATGTAAATCTTTGAACTCGAATGAGAAGTTTTGAACTTTTAGATGTGAACCCCAAATTTTTTAATGAGAACCTTTGAATTTAGATGAGAAACTTTAAAATCTATCAAATATGAATCTTTGAACTCGAATGAAAAGCTTTGAACTTTTGTATGTGAACCCTAAATATTTTTGAATGAGAACCTTTGAATTTAGATGTGAAACTCTAAAATTTATTGAATGTGAATATTTAAACTTTAGTGAGAAGCCTTAAATTTTGGACGAAATCTTAAAGTTTTTAAATGAGGAATATTGGATGTGAAACACTAAAATTTTTTAATGAGAATCTTTAAAATTTTGGAAGTGAATCTCTAAAGTTAAAAAAAAAAAAAGAAAAATCTTTAACTTTAGGGTGTAAATCTACAAAATTCAAATGTGAATCTTTAAATGTTGGATGTAGGCCTTGTAATTTTGATGCAAATCCTTTAATTGAACTTTAAATGTGAATCTTAAAATTTTGAGAATCAAATTCTTGTGAATCTGAATTCTTACAAAGTTGAAAAATCTTGCTAAGTTGAAAAACCTTGTGAAACTGAAATTTTAAAAATCAAATTCTTGCAAGTTTAAAATTATTGCGAACCTGAAATCCTTGAGAATCAAATTCTTGTAAATCTGAAAAATTTTATGAACCTGAAATCCTTGAGAATCAAATTCTTGCAAGTCTGAAATCCTTGCAAATCTAAAATTTTACGAATCAAATTCTTCCAAAACTGAACCTCGCTAATAGTTGCACTGCAAACCTTTGAATTTTGAAATGATGATTCTTTGAACTTAAATTGCGAATCTTTGAGTTTCAACTTGCATTATTAATTGTTGGATTGCAAAGTTCTTGACTATTTCAAATTGTGAATCTTTGGAGTTTCGAGATTTTATAATTGTTGTTAAGTTACACCCGGGCGTAATGAATGTCTATATCGTTACACAATTCATATTGCACAATTTCTGTTGCACAGAAATACGTAAAGAGAGGTAGCTGTAGATATCCAATTTAGTCCGAAGTCTAAATCGATTGGGCCCAATTTAATTTTAAGGCCAAAGCTTTAAATCAATTGGGCTTAGATTTGATCTAAGCCTAATTGTCAAAATTGTGTCTTTACTTTATTTATCTATATATTTATTTTTTATATTTTTTATTTTATTTTATTATGTATTTTATCTTGCTTATTTGTTATTTATCTTTAATTGTATTTCATTATATTTATCTAGTTTTTTAAAATGTATATAGATATTTTTAAAAAATGGATAATTGAAAAAAAAAAGAATGATTGGCCAAAAATTAAAATGGAGTGGCTGGTGATAATGTAGTTTTAGGATCATTAAATTTGAAGTTAAACTTTTCAAAGATAAATTTTATTTTTTCATGATAATCTTAGTTTTTGAAATTGGAATCAATATGAAATTCTTCTTATTGTACCCTATAAATAGACCTTTAAATTATAGAACAAGGGACAACAATTAGAGAGCAATTGGAAAGAAAATTAAGGAAAAAGTGAGAGTAAGAGTTTGACAACAATTGAGCATAAAATTCTTGAGTAATTATCCAGATTTCGGTGGTCAATCCTAGAATCCAACAGCCTATACCTAAGCTAAGTCGAGCTGTTTTCCAAGCATTTTCAGCTAGTTTTGTGCATGTAGCCGAGCCATATGCACTAGCTAAGTTGAATCGGTTCTTGTTTTGGTTTATTTTATTTTATTTATTTATTTATTTTAAAAATATTTTTGCATGATTAAAACATTACATAAGAAAATTAAGAAATAGAACAAAACAAATAATAAAATAATTTTTTGAGAATAAATAATAATTATTCTATGATAAAATTTTTAAAAATTTGAAATGGTAAAATTCTAAGAACTTCTAGGTAAGAATTTTTTTTTAAATTTGTCTCAAAGGGTGGAATAATTTAGATAAAATTTTAATAATAATAATTAATATTTATTTTCAATTAAAAAAAATGTGAAACAAAAAAATTTAATAAAAATTTTGAAATTAAATATTAATTACCTAAGGATGAGATTCTTAAAACTTTTAGATGATAAATGTTATAAGAAATCTTTAAGTGAAAAATTTCTCTAAATTTATCCCAAATGATAGAATAATTTAGATGAAATTTCAATAAAAATAATTGTATTCTTTTCCAAATATAAAAATTTTTGGTTGAAATATTTGACAATTATCTAATAATGAAAATCTTAAAAATTTCAAATAGTAAAATTTTTAAAAAATCTCTAAGTGAGAAATTTCTTTAAATTTGTCTCAAATAGTTAAATAACTTAAATGAAACTTATCTTCTTTCTAAAGATAAAAAAAACAAAAAAATTTTTTTTAAATAAATCCAAATGGTGAAAAATTTAGAAATCAAAAAGAAAATTTCTAAATTGGCCTAAATGGTGAAAAATTTAGAAATGAAAAATAAAAATAAAAATGAATTTCAAGGATGAAATTCTTAGTAATCATAAATTGTTGATTATTTAAGAAATTTTTAGGTGAGAAGATATTTTTAATTTTGGTCCAAATGGTAGATGAATTAAAAATATTTTCAATAAATAAAAATGATTAAACATTTTTCCGACGATGGAGTTTTTTTAAGAAAACAAATAAGATTCTTAAATACTTTGAGGTGATGAAGTATTTTTTAGAATTCTACCAAATTGATGAAAAAATCTTAAAAATAATTTTTAATATTTAAACATTAAAATAAAAACCATTAAAACCAAAAAAATTATTAGGATAATTTAAAATTTAATGATACCATCTTATGATAGACGTTATGAAAACGCTATAACCTTTCATACACGTAATCGAACTTTTGAACTTAATTTTATTTCGAAGATCAGAATCTATTTTTTAAGGACTTTTAGTTAAGCTTATAAGCTCTTTAAAAAGATAAATTTATTAAGTGATCAATCACACTTAAAAAAAAATTGATGGTGATTTTTCTTATTAAATCTACATATAAATTTGTAGATATATATGTTATAATATACTTTCATCCTAATATCTTTCAATCCTAAAATTATAATTTATTGAGAATCCACTATTTTAGTCATATGAAATGATCCAATTTTACTTTCTTTAATAGTTGTTTCTAAATAAATCATATTGCTTATAAAAGTTGCAAGTTTCTCTTCAGAATCTAAATGTAATATCAAGATTTTACCAAAAATGTTATTTACAAGACTTCAATCAATGCGGCATTCTCTCCAAAAGATATTTACATTTTCTTTATTTCACGTGACACCCAAAAAAATATTGTTGTTCATTCTCTTTTTTCTTACTTTTATAAATTTTCTTTTTCCAAAAAATAAAAAACAATTACGGTCACCGTTGGCTGCCAGAATTCAAGAAAGTGACGAGCGTGGGCCCAAACTGACACATGGCCACGTCATCTGGGTACTGTTACAGGTGGCATAGCTGTAACCCCGCTCAGGTCTCCGCCTACAAGGGTCAGTTTCCATTCACTTGCCAAAGTGGGACCAATGGGGTCCATCTACCTATAACTTATTTAATATTTACTCCCTATTTACTATTTTATTTAGGTAAAAAAACTAATAATTCTATTACAGAGCAAATGATAAAATTACAGAGGTTGTTCCCTGAAAAAATAACAGCTTACTTTGATAAACACGTCTTAACAAGTTGCTCGTAATCCAACTCTATAAATACGCAACCTTTTCCTCGCCGAAATCTGCTCCTTCCTCTTCTGCTAATTCTTCTCTCTTTTCCATTATATTTCACGTTGCGCTTCTCTTTTCTCTTTTTCTCTTCAATTTTAGGGTTTTCTTTTTTGCAAACATTTCTCTTTGTTTATTTCTTTTCATTCCCTTCGTTGCCTTTGTTTCTGTTTTAGAGGATTTTCTTCTGTCGAATCTCGTAAGAACTGAATTTTAGAGATCAGTTCTTGTTTTGGTTTCACCTTGTCAATCAGGTTTGTTACATTAAGATTTTTTTTTTTGGTTAATGCAACTGTTGTTAAATATTTCCAGTCTTTTTTTTTTTTTGGTTGTGTGTTTTTTCTTTTGGTAATTTAAGGATTAAGATCTCTATGTCGACGCCCATTAAGGTTTTTAACTCTTTTTGGTGAGACATGCATGTGAAATGAACTGAAAATGTATAAATAAATATATATTTATTTATATATATAACCCAGCTTTTGTTCTTCTGGGGTTGTTTTATTTTTTATTTTTGTTGAGTTTTAATTTTATATTTTACAATATACTCAGTTGTCTTTAGTTTTTTACCTGGTTTTTCTGATGAATACATTTGCGAGGTTTTCTTTCATTTTCTTTATTTTTATTAGTATTATTATATATTTTTAAATGCTGTATAGGATCTTTTATTGTTGCAGAAGCTTTATATAAGGGAAGACAATGATTTTGATGGCCCATTTCATTTTGTTTATTTTATTTGATTTAGTATAAGTTTCTCTTTTGTCGGTTGCTATCTATGAACTAGGTTAAAGGGTTTTAAACGTGTCTTAATCTCTTTCCTTTGATGTTAAATAGAAAAAATATTGTTAATGACCTGTTAATATATATATTTATATATTTATATTGCTTAATATTTGTAATTATTCTATGAGATTATGCCCAGAACGTTATTACTATTTGACTTTTTCTTGTTTAATATAAATGATGTTATATGCTGGTCATCTTTTTTCATTTTCGATTTTATTTCATGTCTATTATCTTTAATGGTGAGGGTTTAAAGTCAATGGTCGTTTTGGTACTTGCAGGATCATGTCATTGCAAGGGAGTTAATGGTCTTAGTAGTTTTTTTTATTTGTTTAATAAACTTTGATGTTGATGTATAGATTTAGATCTGCAATTTAATTGCATCCTCTCTCTATCAATGGCCCACACTTAGGTACAATATACGTGTATATGACTTGTAGGTATATATATAAAGCTTTTTTATACGTATGTGTTATGGTTGTTGTAGTTGGATATGCAAATTGGTGAGTCCTACAATTATATATTTGTCATTTCATTTATGTTTTTGTAGTATTTCTTAATTGTAGATGTATCTATCTAGACAAAGAAATGAAAATGAGGTGATACCACATGATGTAGTGGTGAAATAAGTGGGGATTATTACTTATGGGATACGATAATATTTTGCATGTCATCAAGATCTTTAAAAATAGATGGAAATTTTACGGTATACGACTTTATGATGAGAAAATTTTGTTTATAAAGTAGTAGAATTTCATCTGTTGTTGGTCAGTCTGTTAAAACAAAGGCTTACAAAAGATATCTACTGTTCTGATACCTTAGAGTTTTTATTGTTAGACTTGTTCCTTAATTTTTGATTCTGTTAGTTCACTCCTTATAGTGCCACCTTAAAGTACTATTCATTCAAGAATACTTGCATATTATCCCGAAGATTGTGATGGTTGAAGACCTGGATCAAACCAGTTTTGTATTGTTCTTTGGCATGTCACATCGGGGAAACCGAATTCTTATTTTATGTCTAGAAAGCAATGTTCTTAAGGTCCTTTTTCCTCATCGAATCACTATTTATACACATCTGTATTTATAATGCCTCTTTCTACTGTACTACTTGACTTGCAGATTTAAGCAAATTCTGAATCCATACTACTACCATCTCGAAAATCCTTGCACAAATAATGTTCTGTTACCTGCCATAAACGCGGTGTAGCTTTGGCTATGAGAAGGTAAGTCTAGTATATATGTATTTAACTTGAGAAAACAAAATTCAAATCTTAAATTTAACTTTGGTTTTACTTCTTATTTTAAATTTACTCTTTGCTGTGATCATCAGTTTTCTGGGAGCCTGCGATTGATGGACTGCTCACCCAATAGCAGTGATAAGAAAACATTGAAGAGGTGGTTTTTCATAGATAAAAGGGTTGGCTAAAAAGTTTTGAGTATTGAAGGTTCATAACTGTACAAAGCTGCTGCTATTATCAAAGATCTAGTTTAACCTGCTATAAGTGTGCTTTAAAGTGATCTGAAGCTAATGGAGTTGAAGTCCAGTCATTCATCTCCTGTCCTCACTGATCCTATTTCAATCAACAAGTCAAGACTAGGCATCCACCCCAATCTGCTGTCCTATGCACAATCAGGTGGATCTTTATCCTCTGGAAAGTGTATGACAATTCCCAGAAAGAAACCTGGAAAGCTTGATGATGTTCGGTCCAATGGTTGGCTGGATGCCATGAAATCTTCATCACCCCCTCGTAAGAAGTTAATCAAGGACTTCAATATTGAGGTTGCTGCAGATGATATTGATATTTCTTATTGCTCCTGGATGGTATGCAAATATTTAGTTGTCAATAAATACATATGAAGCCTACTGTCATATACATTTCACTAGATAAACTTGCCTTTTCTTATCCTCTGCTTCTCTGCTGATTATCCAGATTAAATATCCATCTGCACTTAAATCTTTTGAGAAAATTTCCAAAAATGCCAAGAACAAGAAGATAGCCGTTTTTCTAGATTATGATGGTACTCTTTCTCCCATAGTTGATGACCCAGATCGTGCCTTCATGCCTGATACTGTAAGTATGACGGTCGATTTCAGTGCATGAGCATGATATTCATTCCTTGGTTGTCTTCATTTTCCTTTGATTAAAATTTAAAAGAAACAAAAATTAAAAATAGTCTTATTTTTTTTCAGATGCGTTCTGCTGTCAGGGATGTTGCAAAGTATTTCCCAACAGCAATTATTAGTGGCAGAAGTCGTGATAAGGTAGATGGTAGAGCATTCGGGAATTTTGTTGCTTTTTTATCCATTTCTTTCTGCTCTTGACTTATCATCTTGGCATCAATAGGGTCTGATCCACTGCATTTTTAATTTCAGGTTTACGAATTAGTAGGACTAACTGAACTTTATTATGCTGGTAGTCATGGGATGGACATTATGGGCCCTGTGAGTCATACAGAGTCTGATGACCATACAAATTTTACTAGATCAACTGACCAACAGGCAAGAGTCAATAAGACTTCGAAGAGCTCCTCTAATTTATTGTCTCCATAAAGGGGCTATCAAATAGGTTATTGAAAGTATGATTTCACTCTCAATTTCATATTAATCATTCTCTTTAATTGTATTACAGGGCAAGGAGGTAAACCTCTTCCAGCCCGCTAGAGAATTCATACCTATGATCGACGAGGTACATAAATGTTATGTTTAGCACAGCTACCATTTATTACTTTTCTAGGTCATGTTTTAATATATAATAGTGAACACTCTTGGTTTTTGTCTAGCAGGTTTTTAAAAACCTTGTCGAGAATACTAAAGGCATAAAAGGTGCAATAGTTGAGAATCACAAGTTTTGTGCCTCTGTACATTACCGTAATGTAGAAGAGAAGGTGAGAAACAGTAGGTGCTTTACTTTCTTAACAAGCATTCAGAGTCTGAATAACTAGTTCCAACATCTAAGTGGGTTTCTTTTCCTCTTTCAGAACTGGCCAACCGTCGCACAATGTGTTCATGATATTTTGAAAGACTATCCTCGTTTGCGATTAACTCATGGGCGGAAGGTATGTCCTTTTTGCTGGCAGGCTTTGAAACTATATCATCATTTGTTTGATATGTTGTATAGTAATGTCATTACTATTTTGCCTCCTAATATGCTTATTTTCCATGTTCTTCAGGTTTTAGAGATCCGTCCAGTGATTGACTGGAATAAAGGGAAGGCAGTTGAATTCTTGCTCGAATCCCTTGGTATTTCTCTCTCTTTGATCACAAGAACTCCGGGTTGATATAATATGCTTTCGCTTATCAATGCAATTTATGTAAATTGATGTAGGATTAAGTGATAGAGATGATGTGCTCCCAATCTATATTGGAGATGACAAGTCTGATGAGGATGCATTCAGGGTAAGCACATCATTCAAATTGCAGTTGTTATGTTGTGCCATTTTCGAAAGTTCGAAGGATATTCTAATACCAAGTTTGAATCAGGTTTTACGGGAAGGAAGTCGGGGTTACGGGATCTTGGTGTCTTCAATGCCCAAAGAAAGCAAGGCGTTTTACTCTCTCAGGGATCCGTCAGAGGTAGAAAATCCTGCTCTATAGTTGCTCATATTTATTTGTTCCAAAACAAAGGTGTAATCATAATGCAATCTCTTCATTAGTCAAGACCCACATTAAATATGGAATTATGCGCAGGTGAAGAAATTTCTAAAGGCTTTGGTGAGATGGAAGAAGTTTGAAGAAGCTTGAAGAAAGCAGGAGCACAATAAATTTCTAGTCATTCCATTCCAGTGGCCATATTATTTTCAATCTTTGTCAGAAATTTGAAAATATCAATTCAAAACTAAATATTTACATAAATATCTTTCCCTCGATATTGTAAATGCATTTTCCCTGGCTATTGGGGTTTATTTATACAGTTAGCTTTGAGGTCAATAATCATGTACAGTAACCAAAATATAACAAAAAACAAACGAAAAAACAAAAGAAAAGGCATTGAATTGTTTTAAGCAATTTGCTTTCCTACATAATAATAGAAGATAAAAAGCAGGACGGAGCATCCAAGAAGAGATGTTGCCATCGAGATTCAAGCCCCATTCACAGATAACATAAAATTATCCTTTGATATTATCATCACATTCAAAGGGCAGAATAAATTCATAAATAACTTCAATGAAAGATGCACCAATCCGTTGTCGAATTCAGACACCGACCATCCGCTTGCAATAACCCATAATACATTCTAGTAAAGCCCTGAACCATTATTAAAATACCCGAAACCTATTAAATTTCACTAGACCTACCCGAAAACGAACATGGATAAACTCAAACCTCAGTTAACGAACTTCCGCCAGTTTTCCCGTTACTTCAATCTTCAGTTCTCATCTCTCTCTCACAGCACGTAAAGAAAAAAAAATGTCACTCTCTTTGCAATATCCGCCTTCTTCACTTTCTCTTCTTCTTTACCAAAATCAAGATTGAGATTGGCAAATGGGTGCTCTTCTTCGGATCTACTCTTCAAGTTCAACAGATATTTTCCAGTTATTCGTGCCTCCTCCGGCTTCTCGTCTTCTCTTGACACTGGTATCTACCTCTCTTTTCCGTTTTGATGTTTTGGTTAAATGTGTTAGTGTTTTAGTTATTTCTTTGGTTTTTAATTTTTTTTTTCTGGAGGGAGATGTCTCAGGGTTGAGTACTGAATTGGATGCCGTGTCTACTTTCAGTGAGATAGTTCCTAACACTGTGATCTTTGATGATTTTGAAAAGTAAAGATTGTTTTGTTTTTGGTTTCTTTATAAAAGTTTTACTCAAAAGTTCGATTTTTTATACTAATTAATTGAAATTTATAGGTTTCCTCCAACTGCTACAACTGTTAGTTCATCACTGCTTTTGGGTATATTGAGCCTTCCTGATACCATTTTTAGAGTAAGCATTGTCATGTCAAATTATGTGCATAGCTTAAAATCTTTATATATATAACAAATTAACTAGTAATTTTCGTTCTTTTTGGCTTTAGAATGCTGTGGATATAGCCTTGGCGGATTCCAGTTGTTCTAAGCTGGACAATACTGAACTGAGGTTGTCTTGTTTCTTTAACAAGGTTCGAATTCTTATACTCTGAACTATTAAGTAATAATGCATGAATTTTTGGCGTTATGCTATCAATTATTCATTTGCATTCACAAAGAAGGGAAAAAGGACTAGAATCGGATTGTAAATTTGTTTTACTTTTGGTTGTTCATCAAGTGTAAGCTTTAGAAATGTCGGTGGTGACTTGGGAAAGCTAGTTCCTGGTCGAGTTTCAACAGAAGTGGATGCACGTTTGGCTTATGACACACATGGCATTATTAGGAGGGTATTGATTTTTCTCATGTTTTCCATTTATATTTCTTGCTGATTTTTTTTTTTTTAATTTTGTTTTATGATTGTTGTTCGGTATCTCAATCACTGCAAATTTTAGTTGTTGAAAATTGTGTGGGGTCTTATGCATAAGCATCAATGTTGAAAATTTTAATTGAATATACACATTAATGAAACGAACTATTCATTCATTGTCCCTGAATTTTTGCTTGTCTTATGTAGATTTGAGGTTCTTGTCATATTTTTTGGAATAAGAAATGTAGTGAAAGACTCGATATTGTTATACATCATTCTATTTTAAGAAGTATGGTAGTTATATGGATTTCTATGCTCCTCAATAAAACATTATTATTTATTATATAAGAGGAATGAAATTGCCCTTATATGTTAGAGTAGCTTATTCCCTTTTCTTTTTTTATTATTTCTGATGTGCTTCCTGATGCTAAAAGCTTATTGAGATATGCAGGTGCATGACTTGCTGAAGTTGTATAATGAGATTGATGTTCCTCCCGAGCGTTTATTGTTTAAAATTCCTTTAACTTGGCAAGTGAGCATCTCAATAAAATGTCTGTATACACGCTTGTAAGGATGGTAAGTCTTGATAATCTTGGACGATAAAAGCTAAATGATTCTTGCTATTGCTTGTTGGTTATACACGGAATAGAGGCCTCGAGATTGCTTGAATCTGAGGGTATACAAACACATTTGACCTTTGTTTATAGGCTTATGATTATGTTGACAATGATGTTGCTTGATTATAAATGCTATATTTTAAGAGAAAGAGTGACCTCCCTTAGCACACTTTTCTTTCATCCTTTTTTTTTTTCTAATCATTGCTTATTCTGGCATGTTCTTCAGCTTTGCTCAGGCTGCAGCTGCAGCCCAAGCTGGTGCTTCTGTTATTCAGATATTTATTGGCCATGTTAGGCTAAAATTTTTTCCCAAAAATCTTTGGTGACTTTCTTCTGCAAACCTTGACCTTGAAACACATTTTTTCTTTCTTCAGGACTGGGCGCGCAATCATTCTGGTGACCCTGAGATTGAAGCTGCTATTCAAAGAGGAGAGGATCCTGGGTTGGCTCTGGTTAGTTAAACAACTTTTGTCGTTAGAGTTTAGACTTAAATTGTTTCAGTGAGTAGCCACGTTGGTTCTCATGATTTCTGAAGTGCATTAAAGTCTATCTGTTGCTTGTGAGTTGTAACTATTAAGCATTGAAGTTTAGACTTAGCTTGTTAGGACTTTTCCAATAGAAATAAGGAAGTGTTCTTTTTACTATACTAAACTTATGATTCTAGGTGTTCCTTTTTTCCTTTTCTTTCTTTTCAGAATCCCTTGTAAGTCTTGGTTATGTAGAATCCGGGATCTGCACAAATTGTGAATGACTTACGAATAATGTCAAAGGTTCACCGTTGCACTTACCTTTTCTTTTTCTTGTCTCCTTTTTAGTAGTTCTTGAGGTACTTGTTATTGATGATTTGTAATCTATGAAAGAACATGTGACCAATAATAGGATCTTTATTTAGTATATATCATTATGTTTTTTTTTGTCTGTAATAACATATGAAGGTTTGAAATCAATGACAAAAGCTTATAACTATATTCACAAATATAGACATAAATCAAAGCTTATGGCAGCAGCAGTTCGAAACAAGCAGGATCAATTCAGTCTGCTGGGGTATCATATGGTTCAACCAATCAATCATTATCAATTTAATTGGAAATCGTTACAAATTAAGAATCAAATATTGATCTTTTTTTCTTAAACCTCTGGCATGGTTTATTTCTTTCAGGGTTGACTATATCATTGCGCCCTTGAAGGTATTGCAGTCACTCAAAGAATCGATTACTACTCCTGATGAGAAGTTCTCTGTATGTTAGGAGGCTGTCTCCACAGACTGCTGCCAACCACAATTTCACCGCTGAAGATGTATTCTCTCTTTCCATTTTTCAATTGTCAACTCAGGAAAAGCAGGGGAAAAGGAAATCAAAACTCGCTGCACATCATAATGACAAAATGCAATCTATGTGGACCAAGTGATTTCACCATAACATTGCATTCATGACCTTACAATATGAATTTAATGACTCCTTTGATAGGTTCTAATACTATAGCAATGTGGAAACAGCCTGTATGGATATGTGCACGGCTTCAGAGTTAGGACTTTGATTTGTGCCTGTGATTACAGGTTATGAAGACTTTCCATGTCAAGAAAGTATTTGTCATTTCATTGCTAATCTGGTTATACTTGCTCATTGTGGTACCCTGTTGATAGCTTGACTACTTCCCTCTTTATTTGAGCTTTTGAAGTGAAAGGACTAAGAGTGCCGATGAAGAAAGTCTTTAGCTATGGATCTCAACTAAAAGAAAAGAGGAAGGATAAAACCAGGAAAATTTGTTATATGATAAGATTCTCGTAGCATTCCATCTACCAATTTGGTTACTTATCATTCCTTGTGGAAAATAGAAAATAGAAACAAGTTCTTTTGTACATTCCTATCACGAATTCTTCACCATTTTCACAGCCATTCATGGGACTGTGGCCACCGCAACCACATCAATCCTTTGCTCCTCCACAGGCTGTTTGCTGGAATTGTGGTTATGAATTAGACCATACACCTCTTTACAACTGCTACCTCGAAGCCATAGAGATTATGCAGTTGCTTTCCTCGTCGTATTCTTTTGAGAAATATTCTTCATTGTCTTCATCCATCCTATGCTCAACTAACGAGCACAAGCATGCATAACAAGGTCTTTTTGTTTATAAGCGCCAGGAATTGTTTGTTGACTGTTATTTGTCTCAATGTTCAGCTCACAAAGTGGGACCAATTAAGCCTTGCATCAGCTATGGGACCTGCATCTGTGGAGCTTCTGGCTGCTGGACTGGATGGATTTGTCAATCAAGCAAAGCGAGTTGAGGAATTACTTGACAAGATTTGGCCACGTCCAAATGTCTAAAGTGGCTTGTCCATTTTGAAGCACATCTCACATGGCATAAAATAAGGGGATGACACCGACTCCACTATGTTGTCAGCTATACTTTTTTTTTATTGGTTGGCCTTTAAAGCTGATGTTAATCCTCCATGTTTTCTGTTCTCAATGAACATGATGCTGATGTTGACCCTCTGCAATTGCATAATGTGGTAATCCTTTCGCCTACTGCTCCAAAAGTGCATTCGATAGGATGGCAAAGCGTTCCTTTTTACTACAATACTGTTTGTTAGTCAGTGTTATTTTTCTAAGATCAAATGAGAATATAATTATCGAGATAACTTTATTATTAAGTTGATCTTATCATTTATGATTTAAAATTATTTTATTTAATTAATAATCATAAATTTTTAATAATTAAAAATTATTTTATTTGATATTATTAAAAATTAAATATTTTTTGTTTAAAAGTATGAAACTGGCCATATATATTGTAATAATTATATAAATTAATAATTTTAATATTATTTAAAAATAATAATTTATAAAATTTAGTAATATTTTATTTATTCTATAATAAAATATAATTAAATTATTAAATTAATTTTTATAATAAATTATGTAAAAGATATTTAAATTAGAAAATAAAAGAAATCTATTAAATTCATAATAAAAGAAAAAATAAAAAATAAATTATATATAAAATATTAAAAATAAAAATTTATTTTAACATTTATTACAATAAATATTAATTCCAAAATATAAATAATTGTAATATAAAATAATTATAATTTTAAGAAAAAATAAAATTTTAATTCATATATTAAATAAATAATATTAATTATTATTAATTTTATTCGTAATTTTTCTCTATAATGAAATTTTTACCTGTTTTTTTTAAATTAAATAACTATCTAAAGTAATGATTTGATTATTTTTAATGATTCAATAGCATTATTATATAAAATCATCAAAAATTTATCAAATATAATAATATAATTATCATATATAAATTATTATAAATTTTAAAATAATTATTTTATATCAAACATTGTCTTATATTTATCCTATTATTATTTTGTTTCGAAGAACCTAGGCATTGAGTTCTGCTTATCGCCAGGTGCTCGAATCTCTACATATATATATAGTATAGTATAAAGTAGGCTACAGCTAGTCCATTTTTCTTGTTTGATTTCATTTGGGTACCAACTTTGTTCACCCTTAGTTTAAGATAGCCCACGTTTAAAGCTGCTAACCAATGACATTCAAGCCCAAGAATTTGACAGCCTGCACGGAATTGGAAAGTCCATTGCCTAGAGTGCTAGAGCCCAGAAGGCTAAAACCTTGCTGCAGCCTGCTGCCTGTGTCACGGGTCGAGACTCAAGCTTCGAACCCGTGCGGCTCCCGCTCTGGCCCCCTGGCCTCACGGTTTTGTCCTACAAAAGGTGCCTCACAAGGCGGAGATGGTGTGAACCCTTTTATACCCCAGGGACCTTCCTATTATGTTCAATGTGGGATTCAGGACTCTTAGGTCCGTGACATTCTCCCGCATCCAACCTCGTGACGCCCTCGTCACGGAGGCGTGCCACCCTGCCTACCTCCCTCGAGGCGCTCGGCGTGGATCGAACGGTTTAGGACTGGTTCTGATACCACTTGTCACGGGTCGAGACTCAAGCTCCGAACCCGTGCGGCTCCGGGACCCGAGCATTCACCCTTCTGGCGTCCCAGATCAGCCTTCCGCCACGGTTCACACCCTTGTGAGGTATTGTCCGCTCTGGCCCCCCTAGCCTCACGGTTTTGTCCTACAAAAGGCACCTCACAAGGCGGAGATGGTGTGAACCCTTTTATACCCCAAAGACTTTCTTATTATGTTCGATGTGGAATTCAGAACTCTCCCTTAGGTCCGTGACACCTGCAGGTGGAGCTTACACAGGTACCCAACTCCCTCGTTTGACTTTTCCGTTTTGGTAAGAATGAATAATAACCACAAAATCAATATTAGGATTTAGAAGCGGACGTGTCTTACTCGAAAAAGTTTCTCCTGCTGAGATCTTCATCGAAAAGCCTGGTATATATCTTAACCAAAAAAAAACATCTTAACCTCAATAATTCATCTCCCCACCAATGACAACGGTACATATGTAATTATATGGTGGCAAAATCCTCAAGTCTCTCCACCCTACCAATCATGCACTATTTCAATAATGGTGGAGAATTATTACTGCTAGAACTAAGCCCTTGATTGCTGCCCGCCACTCGATTCCATTGGCCTACGTTTTATTACGAATTGGTGATCTAAACTTTTCAATAAAATTAAAAAATAAGCAATCAACCCCTCTTTCCTCGGAAGCTGAATGCCTGTGGAAACAAGCAGGACCGGTTCAATTTTTTTTTAAAAATGAGGAACATGGGTTCTGGATCAGCTTGTTTGTTTTTGTTTGAGGTTGGTTTTGTATTGATGGCTTTGTTTTTATCTAAATAAAAACAATGAGAAGTAAATGGGAAAAGACCAATCACGATCAAACACTGAAATTATTTGCATGTGGCTAAGAACCAACTGGTCCAATAATTTATGTGAGAGATGATTAATTATTAAAGAAACTGGTGGCCCTGGACGAGCCATCTGTTTCCCAATCCTAATCAGCGCTTAGTCATTTAATTCTAGTTTAATTGAATAATTGCCGAACCAAGACTAGGTCTTGCTTCAACTTAATCTAAATACCTAACAAATCTATGCTAAATTCTTTGTTAAAATACTCACAATCATGTCCTTTTGTCTTGGTGGCATCATTGTCTGTCTATCGTTTATAATTGTGGAAAGTCAATTATCAAATTAATTAGTTAATTTCATTTCTTTCATTTTAAGGACAATTTGAGTGAAACATACTTTCATGACGTACTGTAATCAATCTGAGTTTTTTTTTTTTTTTTAAAGATTGTGTGATTAATATTAATGAAAGGAAACATGATTTAAAACCAAGAGGATAAGCCGATAACAAGAACAGTTCCACATTCAAGACAACAGTGGGTAAGCAGGACATATCCACAATTACTTTATCTTCTTATTAGAATGTGAACCTTTTTTTTTAATCAAAATTTAACTGTTTGACACGTTTTTGTGATGTCAAGTAATTCGGGTCCTAAAGAGTACAGCATACCAAATATAAACGAGATGTGAGTTTTTTATAATAGGATGCTTATTTATAAAGATTGACATTTAATAAATTTAAAATATAAATATAAATTTTTTTTTTTTTAATGATTTTTTGTAAAAAAACAAATTAAAGGTATCAATGATTGTTAATAACCTTTAATAATTCTACTAGGATTTAATCGCATCCGATGTGTAATTACCTTTTCCCATTCAAGTTTTTGCCTTGCCGTCGATTATATCCCCAAGGCCAAGGCTCCAATGAATATTTCGTATCAGTTCACAAAATAATACTTTTCTACATTATTGATGCGCAATTATTGGCAAAAAGCCAAATCTTCTAATTTTCGATAGAATACCGATCGAACAAGTAATTATTAAAAAAACGTTTCCTTAGTGAATCATAAACTCAAAACGAATCATTCCCCTCTGAACTCTGACGCAATATACATCAGACTTGTCCAACTTGTGTCTTGTCTATAACTATTGCCTGGTTCATAATAGGATGATCTCATTGTTTATTTATATAGTTAATAAATAGCAGCCAATAAATATGGCAGTTACACCTGTCTAGTTTCCGACAAATCAAGTCAGATTTTTGGTAAATTTTCCTTTTTTTTTTTTTTTTCCTTTCCTAGTCCCAGTCAATCAGGAAACCACCCACCCCGTTCGCTCGGGAAGCACTGCCCATATTTATATATGGCAATGAGAACTAGGCGAAACATAGGACTCTCTTCTCTCTTTGTATCAATGTATTAAGCAGTTTTGTTCCCTCTTTTTGTTTTCTTTATCCGTTTTTATCCAAATTACAAGCAATGGTGGATACAAATCCATTCCTTCAAGCCTCCGTCTCTGATGGGTCTGATCCAATAGGGCCTCAGGTAACTCGACGGAAACCCATCAAAGAGCAGCTTTCAATTTTTTTTGGGTTGTTAGCTGTTGGCTTGTGTGTGGCATTCTTGATAGGAAACAATATTTCAGATAATGCTCATGAACATGAAAACGAATGCGGTTCATTGGCTTCATTGAACTCTATGAAACCTGAACTTTTGCGGCCGGTGTCACGTGGCCCGGCTGCCGGTGTATCAGAGAAATCAAACCGGTTTTTTGCCAAGGTTGACGGGACATTTCCGGCGTATCCATGGAACAATAGCATGTTGTCATGGCAAAGAACAGCTTTTCACTTTCAACCTGAAAAGAATTGGATGAATGGTGAGGAAAAAAAGATTCCTTCCTTACATATGATGTGCTGATTTTTACATATCTAATATCTTAAATTTTTTTGTATGGCTGGGCGCTTTTACATTGTTGCTGGAATCTGGTTCGTTCTGCTTCAGATCCTAATGGTAAGGCCCAATTTTTTACTTACTGCACATCTCTATATATGATTTTGTACCTCCAAATTTGTTGTACATATACCTAAAGCCTTCACGATGTCTTTTCTGTTGAGGCTAAAAGAAGGGCATTTTAGGGGTCTCAGCCGTTTTTTTATCCAAAAAGAACTTTTTGCCGCCAGTTGATTAATAGTAGTATCTGACTGATTAGGAAATTAATTGAAAAATAAAGATTGATGATTAGTCAAAATCAGATTCGAAAATATTCTCAATAATTCTTAGTTGAAATATGGACCCACCCTTTTTATGAATTTTTTTTTCATTTAATACATTTGTTACGAATATATTATAAGAATTGTCTTATTTATATACAAAGGACAAAAAATATACCATGGTATTAAAATTTTATTATTTCTAACATTTGATTGCTAAATATAACAGGTCCATTGTTCTACAAGGGATGGTATCATTTCTTCTACCAATACAACCCCAATGCCGCTGTGTGGGGTGACATAGTTTGGGGTCATGCTGTATCCAAGGACTTGATCCATTGGCTTCACCTCCCATTGGCAATGGTTGCTGACCAGTGGTACGATAAAAATGGTGTCTGGACTGGTTCTGCCACAATTCTCCATGATGGGAAAATTATTATGCTATACACAGGATCCACTGCGGAGGCTGTTCAGGTTCAAAACCTTGCTTATCCTGCTGACCACTCTGACCCTCTGCTCATCCATTGGGTCAAGTACCCAGGGAACCCTGTTCTAGTTCCACCCCCAGGCATAGATAACAAGGATTTCCGTGATCCAACTACCGCTTGGTTAACCTCTGAAGGGAAATGGCGCGTTACCATAGGGTCCAAGATAAATAAAACTGGCATAGCTTTGATATATGATACTAAGGACTTCATAAACTATGAGATGTTAGATGGGTTACTTCATGCTGTGCCCGGTACCGGCATGTGGGAGTGTGTGGACTTCTTCCCTGTTTCAGAAACAGAAGAAAATGGCTTGGACACATCCATTAATGGACCTGGAGTGAAGCATGTGGTCAAGGTAAGCTTGGATGATGAAAGGCATGATTACTATGCCATTGGGACTTACCTTGAGAAGAATGGTACATGGATTCCTGACCAACCTGAAATCGATGTTGGCATTGGAATAAGGTATGATTATGGAATATTCTATGCTGCCAAGACTTTCTATGATCAGAATAAAAAGAGAAGAGTGTTGTGGGGTTGGATTGGAGAATCTGATAGTGAAGCAGCAGATACGCAAAAAGGATGGGCATCTCTTCAGGTAATTTTTCTGTTTCTTGGTCCTTAAGCATTAGTTGAAAGTCAGAATTCTTCAGTTTCTTAAACGTGTTTCTGATTTGCTATTTTACATGCAGAGCATCCCAAGGACAATTTTGTTTGACCAAAAGACGGGTACTAATTTGCTTCAATGGCCAGTGGAAGAAATAGAGAGTTTAAGGTTGAAGAGGAACGAATTTAACCAGGTGAAAGTCCAGGCAGGATCAGTTGTTCCTTTAAATGTTGCTTCAGCCACCCAGGTTTGTCTTTACTTTTATAACATGTATGTCATTGAGAATTTGTAGACCGAGATCCTGTTAGCTGACAAGGAGATGCCTGGTCATGTGACAGTTGGATATCATAGCCGAGTTTGAGATTGATAAAGAGGCTTTGGAGAGAGCAACTGGGTCCAATGTAACATTCAGCTGTAGAACCAGTGGTGGAGCTGCAGAACGTGGGGCACTGGGACCATTTGGTCTGTTGGTGCTTGCAGATGAGAGACTCTGTGAGCGGACTCCTGTCTACTTCTACATTGCCAAAGGATCCCATGGCAATCTCAATACTTTCTTCTGCAATGATCAATCTCGGTATGTATAAACCTCAGCTGTTCTCTCTTAACTTGAGCCAGTTTTTCAGATAGCTTGGAGCCTAGGACTTAACCATATTCTGTTCTTTCAGATCATCTGCAGCATCTGATGTTGATAAACAAATTTATGGGAACTTCGTTCCAGTACTAAAAGATGAAACCTTATCCCTCAGAATATTGGTGAGTTTAACTTGTTTCCTCCTCCTATTGCTGTATGAATGTGAATAAATAAATTGCCTGACTATGAGAATCAATAAACATGAAAATTTATTGTTTTGCAGGTGGATCATTCGATAATCGAAAGCTTTGCTCAAGGTGGGAGGACAGTCATCACATCTCGGGTTTATCCGACAAGAGCAATCTATGGAGCCGCTAAAGTGTTTTTATTCAACAATGCTACTGAAGCCAGTGTTACCGCCTCACTTAAGATTTGGGAAATGAACTCTGCATTCATTCGGTCCTATCCACGTCATCAGAAGTTCTAAAGGACCAAAAAGAAATGATTACTCCGAACATCACCATTCATTAATTCTTCTACCTATTCAACCAAATCATCTCCTTGATGGGAAATAGAATGGAATTAGATCTAGTTAGGGAAGAGTTAAAACGAAACGAATGTGCAAACATACATTTGTAACTGCAGAGAGAACCTGAGTGGAGTTTTTTTTATTTTATATTTTGTGAATCATTAACCTGAAGTATGATCTGCATCTGCAGGTGCACATTGATGAATGTTGTGAATATCCCATTGTTTTCTGTTTTTTTTTTTTTAAGATTATAAAAGAGGAAATTATTTTCTGCATATTTGGTTCCATTATTGTGAAAGATTATTTCAGTTTGGATAAAAAAAAAAAAAGGATTTGAAGTTCCTTGTATTTGTAACAAAATGAATTCCAAATTTGAGCCCCCCAAGAGAGATAATTGTTCTGGCCGAAAAAGAAAAAGGGGTTATCTCACTTACATTTCTTTTAGACGGGCGCCTTTAATACACATTTGTCTTATGAGGCCAAGCCTTAAATGATTGGGCTTAAGAAATTTTTTTAAAGGGCAGAAGTCATGAAACAGAGACACCAATTGAAGCCTCTGCCATGGGCCAGCCAGCAAAGCATCAAATTTTTTGGGGCTAGATTGGGTAAGAATTGACAGCCACCTCAAAGTGAGAGATCCAGCCCATTTCATTTTCCACGAGTCCATTGCTAACAATATTTTAAGCCATATTTATTTATGAGAAATTATTTAATTTATTAATAATAATTTTTTAGATTTTAGCAACAGAGTTAATAAGGCACACATATTTTTTAGTTCATATTAAAAAATAAAAAATTTAATTTTGATATATAGGTTATTTTTTAAAAATTTTGAGAAGCTAAAATTTTTTTTCTTTTTACAAAAATTATATTCTTTCTTTTAAGACAATGAAAAACCCAAATAAAAGGAAATAAAGTTAAACAACAAATTTACATAAATTATAACTAGCTAGCACTAAAATTAAAATAAATGACATGCTTTTTTCCAATAAAAGTTTTCATGTATTCGAGTAAACCATCATTATATCTGAAGCTTTGCATATCCACTCGAATCATAAATTCATTTTAATTGCATATTTTAATCCAGTTTAAATTACGATGTTGAACATAAAATAATAAAGAAATTATAGCTTTAGACACACTTGAGGCTAGCAAGAATCATGTCTTCATTGTCCATACCATGACTTTAATTATGGTGGAGTCAATAGCTGCTGGAATTGCGGAAGCTTTGCTTGTTTTTCAAGCAAGGGCTCATGCTCATGGATACTTTTACAACTCACTTTTCTAATAAAGTACTCAATCAATCAAGCCATTTTTTTTTTTTGGGGGGGGGGGGGTGGTGAACTGCTATTTCTTCATTTGGGTTCAAATCAAAATTGATTGATTATATAATTTTATAGGTAAATGACTTAGAACTAAATTAAAGCATATGAACAATACTCCCAAGCAGAAGGTTTCTTGTGTGTTTGAAAATATATATCGTTTTATATTAGTATGTTTTTATCTTAAATTTTATTCACTTATTTGTGCCACAACAAGTTTTTTTTTTTTTTAAGTGATCTTCTAACTTTCACACATTTTCAATTGATATTTAATATGAGAAAAATATATGAATTAAATTTATTTAAATTATTGTATAAAGATTATATTCTAATTTTCACCTAAATATATGAATTTATTTTATAATTTGAGTATAAAATTAAAATTTTCTAAAAGTTTGTAATTTATCTCTCTGTTTAATCTCATACATGTTAAATCAGTCTGGATCAAGAAAAGGGTTATTTTATTAGCAGGGCTATCCTATTATTAAAATTGATTTTTATGATCTTAATCAATAAAAAATAAAAACAAAGAAAATAATATAGTATTTTTCCGTCTGCCTTGATGCCATTGGATACTGTCTTTGCGACGCCGATAAAGGATAGGAACAACAGTCAACAATCACCTTAACTACTCCTCTTCATGGTATTTGGCATCTCGAGGTAAAATGTTGAACTACTACTCCCCCACCAGCCATTGCCATCTGCCCTGTTCAGACACGTTAAGATTACGTTTAAGTTTTATCGCATTTTTTGTCACACTTTAATTTTATATTGAAATATTTTAAAATTTTATTATAATATATCAATTTAAATTTATAAGATATTTTTTTTAAAATAAATATAAAATTTTTAAATTAAAATAGATAATATTTGATAAATCAAGTATAAATTTTTTTAAATAATATCAAAATGATTATCAATCAAATAAAAATTAAATGTTATATTATGATAATTAAACAAAAATTAAGTATTATATCATAAAAATCATATTTAAAATTTTATGAGAGCTAAATGCTACATAATAAGAGTCTTGTTTAGAATGTCAATGTTTGATATAATTTTATAATCTATTTTATATTGAATTTATCTAATATTTAGTGTGATTTAGTAGAATTTATATATTTTGTGTTAAATTTAACAAGAACATTAAGTTTTAATGAAAAAATTTATAATATTTTCAATCTCATTTCGAAATATTTCAAAAATCAATTATGATATATAAATTGATATTTAATCTTAAATCTATGAGGTATTTTTTTTAAAATAAAATTGAGATATTCATATAAAAATAAACAATACTTCATAATTAAATGTAAATTTTCATATTTTTAATGCAACGTGATCGAGTTTATTATGTCATTAGTGAATTTAAATGTTAATTTTAATAAAATAAATTCGATATAAAATTTTTATTAAATTATTTAATCATAATTATAATAAATTTTTTAATTACAATTATAATAAATTTCATCGTTATTTTTAATTTCGTTAAAATCAATTTTAAGGATGATCCAAATATAACCCTAAACATTTGAAAAAAAGCATACGATGTGGCTGCAATGGCAGCAAAACACAAAAGGCAGTTGGTTTCATGTGTTTGCTTTTTTTTAACCAACCGTCAAACCGAAATATCATGCGGATATTAGGGAAGAAGAAGGCAGCTGCGATTTCTAACAAACGAAAAGCAATTGATTTCATGGGAGGGGGGGTCCACATGCGATCGTGTGCTGGCAATCATGTGGCCCTTTCGGAGGATATGGGCGTTAGTCCCAGCATCGACCATCGGACGACATACGTCAATGTTAGCAACGCGTCAGCGTTTACCCCATGTGGACTGTGGGCCGTGTCTGTGTTAGTATTGCATGTTTGTACAAAAAACCACACATTTTGACATTTTCCACTTCTATGTGACTGTGAACTGCCTACTCCTCTCTTTCTCTCTCCAAAAACTTCTCTTTTTCTCTCTCCTTCTCTTATGAATGATGACCGGTGACGGATAAATCAAACGCTTTTTGGTCCCATTCAAAGTTCAACTTTTTTTTTTGTCACTTGAAAAAACAACACATAGAGCAAAATTTATAGCCGTTTCTATTCTCTCATTTCTCAAAGTTTCTGTCCTTAGAGCCTCTGGTTTCTTCTTTTCTTTTGACTACCAGATAATGTAAAGTCTCAGCAAAGTTTTAACAAAGATTTCCCTCTAAAAATTTTGCAGTACAAACCCAAAAAGAGATTTTTTTTTAACCCTTTTTTCTTGAAGAATGGCTTTGAGTAGGTTCTGGGGTCTGTTTCTCATCCACATTGCTCTGCTTTTGGCCTCGTGTTTTGCTGAGGATCCGTTTGTTTTCTATGATTTCGAAGTCTCTTACATCACTGCTTCTCCTTTGGGTGTTCCCCAACAGGTCTGCTCTTTTACTACATCTCTTTCTTCTGCTATCTACTTCCTCTTACTACTATTTTCAGTACCATTTTTTCATGTGGTTCTGCATAACTTTCATAACTGAGAAATGGGTTGCCTTTACATTGCTTAAAGTTTCAACTTTTAGCTTCAGATCTAGAAAAAAAAATGTAACTCCTTGTTACTTGTATTTTGCTTAGTGTTTGAGAGTTAAGTGAGCTTTGGAGTAATGTTGTGGAGCTATTTAAGTTCTATTAATTGTTTCTGTATCTGCATTACTTTGTAGGTTATTGCTATAAATAACAAGTTTCCTGGCCCTACTATCAATGCAACTACTAATAACAATGTCGTTGTCAATGTTCGAAACAAATTGGACGAGAGTTTACTTATCCATTGGTAGGATCTTACTTAATTTGCAGTAATCTTTGTTAAGTTAAATCAAAGTACAAAGATAGATGGAGCAATTGACTGTTTGGTTTTATGTTGGGTGAGATAGGTCTGGGATTCAACAGAGGCGTAGTTCATGGCAAGATGGGCTTCCTGGCACTAATTGTCCTATTCCTGCTAAGTGGAACTGGACTTACCAGTTTCAGGTTAAGGACCAAATTGGGAGTTTCTTCTACTTCCCATCACTACACTTCCAGAGAGCGGCTGGTGGTTTTGGCGGCTTTATAATAAACAATAGAGCTATTATTCCTATTCCTTTTGACACCCCTGATGGGGAAATTACCATTTTGATTGGTGATTGGTACACACGCAACCACACGGTTAGTCCTTTGTTAAGTTACTGGATATATAGTTTTTTTTTTTTTTTTTTTTTATCTATTTAAGGTTGGATTTGGGATGTAGGATACAATGTGTCTAATGATGACACCTTCTTTTGGATTCTAGGCTTTGAGAAAGGCACTTGATGCTGGACAAGATTTAGGGATGCCGGATGGAGTTCTTATTAATGGCAAAGGCCCTTACCGATATAATGATACTCTTGTACCTGATGGCATTGATTATGAAACAATTAACGTCCACCCAGGTGATTATTTCATGCAAGTAATTGTTTACTTATAATTTGCTAACTGCTACTAATTCATAAATCTGTCAGCTCAACTGCTTGTGTAATTACAGGTTGTTTTAGTGACTGAAAAATGGAATTAATTCCGGGAGTGAGAATTTAGAAGTAATTACCATGTATATATTATAGTGCAGTTGTATTTTAGATTTTTCCAAGTAATGCATCTACTGAACTTTAATTGCGGGGTGGAGCTTTGCATCTGGCATGCTACCTTCCACGTTGGGAATATTCAGTTATTCATTCTCAAATTATACTAATAGTTTCTAAGTTATTATTATTATTATTATTTTTTTTGGATAAATATTTCCCAAGTTATTATTAGCAATAACTTCATGTAATATTAATGGTAAATTTTGGAGTAGCACTACTGGCCTTTCAATTTCTGGTGTGCATCTGTTGATGACAGCATAAAGACATGTTGACCCATAAATTTTGTACGTTGGACTGCCAGTTAGATGCATACATACATATGACTAGTTGGAATTAGTTATTACCTTTATGTTGTGGTGAGTTTTTCAAGCTCCCAAATGACAACATTACTTTATTATGTTGGGCAGGGAAAACTTACCGCCTTCGAGTGCACAATGTGGGAATATCAACCTCCTTGAATTTCAGGATTCAGAGCCATAATTTGCTTCTTGCGGAGACCGAGGGATCATATACAGTGCAGCAGAACTACACTAGCTTAGACATACACGTAGGACAGTCTTATTCTTTTCTGCTAACCACAGATCAGAATGCAAGCACTGATTACTACATTGTAGCAAGTGCCAGGTTTGTAAATGAATCACAGTGGAAACGAGTTACTGGTGTTGCCATTTTGCATTATTCAAATTCAAAAGGAAAGGCATCTGGTCCCCTCCCTGATCCACCACAGGATGAATATGACAAAACCTTTTCGATGAACCAAGCTAGATCTATCAGGTTGGTTTTCATTGTGGTTCAACTGCGCAAGCACATTTTTCTCACACATTGGATTTTTTGCTTGTACGAGTATCTTGTTTTTGGTGATACTCATTGAGACTTCAAACAATGTGATAAGTTCACTTAGTAATAAAGCAAAAACCTGTAAATTAGGTGAGGAATACCTTTTATGTCTAGTACTGCATTATGATGAAGAGGAAAGTCTATATTGCAGGCATGAAATCATTTGGAAGAGGAAAATTGTCATGGAATTCTGAATTATTTTGAAGAATATGTGTACTTTTAGTATTATTTTAGTTGTCAGTTGTCTTCAAATGTTAAAAAGAAATTATCCGAATACTTTAGTTGGTTGTGCATTCTTACTTTCTGTGCTTAAATTATGCAGATGGAATGTATCTGCCAGTGGTGCTCGCCCTAACCCACAGGGATCTTTTAGATATGGTTCAATCAATGTGACTGAAATTTTTGTTTTGAAAAACAAGTCACCAGTGACTATTGATGGGAAAAGACGAATGACACTTAGCGGGTTATCATTTGTAAATCCTGCTACACCAATCCGGCTTGCTGACCAGTTCAAAGTTAAGGGAGTATATAAGCTTGATTTTCCCAGTAGACCACTTACAGGTCCATCTAAAATGGAAACATCAGTAATTAATGGAACATATAAGGGATTTATGGAAGTCATCCTACAGAACAATGACACCAAGATGCAGACTTATCACATGAGTGGATACGCATTTTTCGTTGTTGGGTAGGAATTTTTTCCTTTAAACATCACCACGTATAAACATATCCTTATGAACTATGATTTTAGCACAAACTCTTCAATTATCTTGTTGCAGAATGGATTATGGTGAGTGGTCAGAGAATAGCAGGGGCACATATAACAAGTGGGATGGCATTGCCCGCACCACAGCACAGGTAGGTCATTGGAGACTTGTGTTTTTAGTTTTGTTATACTTCCTTCTAAAGTTTTAGCAAGTTAGCATTATTTCGTTTTGACTTGATATTTTCTAATAAAACAAAGCTGTTTCAATGATTAGAGTCCATATACAAATGTTAGATTAATATTTTAGGTAATTATAACGTATGGGAGACATCCTAGTTTGCACTGATAGTATGCTTTTGAACTGGTTCATTTTGATGCTTCCCTTGTGAATTTCAGGAGGAAACATGTTTTTTGTCATTACACAATATTTTAGCTTGAACTAATGCTTTTGCTTTCTTTTCCCTGCTTTTATGGTTTTAGCATTTGCAAATTCGTTTTTGGTATCTCTTTGCTGTGATGTTGTGCCTTGCTTCTCATGATGTTGGATATAAACAATGCAAGCGGGATATATCAAGTTGTTATTTGCCATTTTTGGGTAGCTTTAATTTCTGGGTTCTTTTATAAATGATTATGTTCACCGTGGTTTGTGGTAACATTTATGCATTAAGCATTAAACTTTAGTATATTAGTCTTGGACTTGCCACCAACAATCCTACTGAGTTCCCTCGTTAGATGAAACTCACGAAGTACCTGATTCTTTTGTCAAGAAGGCTCAAATGTAGTCTCTCTGTCTCTGTAGGTTTATCCTGGTGCATGGACAGCAATCTTGATATCACTTGACAATGTTGGAGTCTGGAATCTTAGAACAGAAAACCTCGACTCGTGGTATCTTGGCCAAGAAACATATGTCAGGATTGTCAATCCAGAGGCTACAAACAAAACTGAATTGCCTATGCCAGACAATGCCCTCTATTGTGGTGCTCTCAGCAAATTACAGAAGTATGCAAAACGAGTCATTTTACATGGAAGTTTTCGTCTTAAGTTTGCTCTAAAAATTGATTATGGCTAGTTCTGATTATACTTGGTTTCTTTTTCAGGCCGCAGGATATCTCTTTGGCAACATCAATCACAGGCAGTAAATCAAAACTGTTCTTCACAGTGCTGATGATTGTCTCTGCACTATTTCTTCTTTCACGCTAGGGGTTTTCTTTTGGGGTGTCTGTGCTTGTCAGAAACTAGCTTCTCATAAGGTTTGTGGTTGTGTGTTTAGGTGTGTAAGTGTAGTCTTGTGGATATGAATTTTTGGGTGATTTTGACATGAATTTTTTTTTTTGTTTACAATGTTGTTAATGCTGCCGGGGTTCCTTGTTTAATTTATTGGGAACATCATTCTTTTAAAACCTATAATTTATGTACCGATGACAATTCATTAATTTTCAATACAGTTTAACCTCGTGTCTAGATTTATGTGTACTTTCATGCTCTATATCTGCCTTGTTTCACACACTTTGCTTAAATTCATCAACACGCTCACACATATACGCATGTATATGCATCTATATATTGTATATATGTTTGTGAATGGATGGGTGCGTAATGCATTATGAACTTGCACATTTGATGCCCCTTTCTAATGTAAGTGATCATTGTCCATCATTATAGTCATTCATTTGAGGTTTTATATACAGGTCAACATTGCTATTTCAGACAGAACATATGTTAAAAATTTGTTGTGCAGAACATACATTATGACTAGTGAAGTAGTTGTTTAGGGTTTAATTCTTTACTTTTGGCCTTGTCTAAATGTGCCTGTCCCTCTTCCACCCAAAAGAAAAAGCTGTAGCAATGATGCAATATGTACGCTTGAGTGGTTGTTTTATGAGATGGAATGAAAATGGTAAATCAACACGCGTGATTTTAAACTTGAGAGTGACACCACGAAAATAAAAAGTTATGCTTGTCCCATTTTTAGGTCCATCTGTGGTAGAAGATCACGAGTCTAGCTGGAAATCATGCTTCCATCAGGTTTATACGGTTTCTTTCCCCATGCTTTACTTTGCCAAGCCAGCTCGATTGCCCATATGCCCTTCTGGAGATTGAGACTGAAGGGCAATCCTGGTCCAGTGTTCTGTCAAATAGAAACATCAAATGCTGCACAATCCTTTTTAATAGACATTTGCAGTAAATTGGAATTAGGATGGCAACGGGTCAGGTTGGAATGGATTTTTGCTTGTTTTGAATTCGATTTGATTTTTACATTCGTCAAATTTGAACTCAACCCGACCCCGATCCACTTTTTTTTTTCAATACTCGAATTCGATCCGACTTAAAATTAACAAAATTTTATTTTTAAAATATAAAATATTATTTTTTAAATATAAATATTTAAATATATAATTATATAAATATATAAATAAAAAATTAATTTAAAAATTATTTTTTATATAATATTGGATCGAGTTAAGTTTGTTTAAAATTCGAACTCGACATTTCTTTAACGTTACTCGACACATCTGACCTTAAATCTAATTTCAAAAAAAAAAAAAAAATTGATTCTATAAGATCAAGTCAGGTCGAAACTCACCGGAGATAGGTTGGGTTGCCCACCGGATCCATCAATACAACAATCAATATTCTCCAGCCGCCATAGATCCAGGCTCCCTTCAAAATAAGAAAATCCTAATATCATTGATTATTTAAAAGAAAGTATACTCTCCAGTAGTTGACATGGACTCTTCTTTTTGTATGCTCCAATCCATCCTTCCTATATGCTCTCTAAAAAGCTGGATATGGGAACTGCTGGCCTACCGGGGTTATGTTGGAGTTGAAAGGCTGCATTTTCATGCCATTTGGTATCTGCTTTTGTAGGGCAAGTGGGAGGGAGGAACAACATGGAACGAAATACCCCTTTACAAAGTAAACTTTGAGACTCTGGGTGGAGAGCCATTGTCCATGGTCCACAGTGTTGCTATCATGTTTAAGACTTTGGAGAATCAAACTACTCTTCCTCATAATGGGCGCATCCTATGCATTATTTCAACTTTACAACTCACGCTTAACTGATTACAGTAAGATCCGTATTCAGATTTCAGAGTCATAAATACCGGAGTTTGGGTCCATTTTTGTTCCTTGGATCCAGCATCTTCTGATAAAATAACTCCATTTTTGTCTTGCATCAATGGGGTTAATGGTAATTAACATTATAAAAACTCACACCTTCATGAACAAAAAGTTTTCTATTTCTGCTATGAAACACAATTTAAGCTGAAGCAAACCTTTTTTCCGTTGGAATAGCTTTGTAAAAATGAAGGATTAGGTGCGGGCCTGAGAATAAGTACAATCATGAATATTCACAACATGATAGTATGATTGTGTTCCCCAGTAGTGAACAAGGCTCGTAATCCTCTTTGCTTACCTTTATTTGCCTGCTTTTCTCAGCCTCAGAGCTGGGCGTATCAGCTGGAAATGGGCCGGTAACACCTTTAATCGGTTGAGCAATCAGCTAAACCATTGTTTCTCCCGAGTGCCAAAAAAGCAGAAGATTTTTTTTGGAAAAACTGATAATGATTGCCTGTGAAGCCCACTTAGCTATCTGGACCAAGTATAAAGGGGCTGGCCTGGCCTGGCCTGTCAAGGAAAATTGCAATCATGCCTAGTGGGTAGTGGCTGGGAAGGCCGTCAATGGCTTCCTGGAGTCTATTTCTTGACGGTTCTCCATTAATGAGGCCCGCCTCTTATCCTCCATTCATTTGCCGGCCATTGTATGAATCTTTTGTCAGATAATTAATCCACAAAATAATCATGACAAGAGTTCCAATTCAAATTGATTAATGCTTCTGCACTGCTGCACTCCAATCATGAACAAAGATTTAGATTGAAAATTTTTGAATTTCTTTAATTTGCAATTTTGACTTTTATTAAGGGTTTTTTTTTTTTTTTTTATTAATGAATTCCGTTTAGCCTAGGAGTGCAAGGGATTAGAGATCATGTTATATTTGAAGTCTTTTGTCCCTTAAAAATTTCCATTGAATAATACGCTTATTAATTTCTTAATATAACTCGTGTATTTAGAAGCCCTAATTTGGGACATTTTAACTAATTTTCATTAGAATAACTAAAACAAGATAATATTTATAGAGCAAAAGAGAGTGCTAATCAATTTACACAATGTAAAACTAGAAAGGCTTTATAAAATTTTTTAACTCTCGATTTTAATAGATTTAAAAGATGAGAGGTAATAGTATAAATAAGAAAAATAATTTAATCTTATTAAAATTAATGATTAAAAAATATTTAAAACTAAATAAATTTTATACTGTGTAAATTGATCCTTACTTATTTATACCACTCGAAAATTCTAAATTTAAGGGTTCGTTAAGTGGAATTCCATTCATTTACCAACCAATACTATATGGCATAGAATATACTCTTCATCACCATTTGTATAAAAAAAACCTTCTCATAGTTTTAAAGTTATTGAGTCAAATTAAGAACAAGAGTTTGGTATCCTAATTTAGTTTATAATGTAGTAATTAGTAACATCAAAAGCATATGAATTAATTGCTTAACTCGATTGATTCATAAAATCATTTTTAAAAATAATATTTAATCAATTTGAATTTAAATTTTAACATTTATAATCTTTTATCTAATTTTACTCTTTGACTTCTTTTGTAAAAAAAAAAAAAAAAAAAAAAAAACCAAAACAAAACAGAAGCATTTTAATACGACCAAGAGCCATTGATATTTAAGATTATTTTTGCCCACGCCAGACGCATCATGTTTGAAGATCATTTTATTAACGTGTCTAATCAAGTTGCCCTTAAAACAACACTAGCTAAATCAGGGATGGATAGAGCTCAAGAGTTTCTGGTTTTTATTTCCTGATGTATGTTAGTTCTTCTAGTTCTCTTTAGCTGAACATTTTTTCCATTAATAAAATTCCTTTGCCTTTCAAATAAAAATGAGAGAATAAACTATTGAATTAACCGAAAGAAAGGAAAAATTAACAAATTGTCAAACACATGAAACAGTGAAGTTGCTAGTAGTAGTTGATTAGCAAAGATTCAACAATGAGAAACTAAGAGTAAGGTTTTTCCAAGCAATTCGAGGTAGAAAGGTTTTTCAAACAAAACATAAGCTTGCTGCAACTAAGACTGCACTGAGAGATTGAGAAAGAGAAAGAGAAAGAAAAAGAGACCTAATGGCAGAATAGCAAATTGCAAGAGACAGGAACAATGGAAAATAGCGGCCTCGATTGATCACTGGTTATTGCTTAATAAGGAGAGACACCCACATTAGCTGAAGCAAAAAACCCATTTTTCATGAGAACATCCTCTCCTTCCTACAAATACTCGAAAGGAAAGAAAATCTCGATCAGTTAAGTAACAAGAATGTCTAGAAAGCTCGCTATCAATATCAACTGTTTTCCTTTGGAGGGTTTACATTTTTGGCCATGGGGAGGAAAGGGTGCAAAAATCACCTGCTGGTGCACGTTAGTCTTCTTGGCAGTCTGATCAGGCATGAGTCCGAAGTGAATATGTGGGAAGTGGGCCCACTGACAAAAAGAAAACATAATAGGACCAGTCAGAGATCCCCACCAAAAGACTTTATATGAGAATAGAGAAAAAAAAAAAAGAAAGAAAGGAGACAAATTAAAAGAAACCCTAGCTTTGTTTTTCTGTATGATATAAGAAGCCCTAGCTAATTTGGTAAAGAAAGCCAAAACCGTATATCCCCATAGATTTCTTTGTCTTGGATCTTACATTCTTTGCAGCTGCACTGAAGGCTTCTCTGTGAGTTATATCAGGATTTCCAGCCTTGATGCGTTGGATCTCGTCCCTGAAGCGGATCAGATTCGTTCAACAAATCCAAATTCAAATTTAGCAACTTCATATTTCAAGAAACAAAACAAAAATGTATGCACATACATACATGTATGAATGTATGTATTTTTGAAAATGCATTTGATATAAATGTGAAAAATGAAATTGCCTTAAATGATTGCTTACTTGATGAATCGGTTGTACGCGGAGGGGACTCTCTGTCGCTTCTCCGGAGCTGAACATAGACAGACACATTAAAATCACATTATACTGACTTTTAGTGGAATTCTGCTTCTTTCTTTTTTATCTTTTCCTCTACTGTCACTTCACCATCATTTTGTAACTTTTACTATTCAATGTTTTCATAAGATTCTTTTACATTTCCGGGAGAAAAAGAAAATGATCTATCATTCTTTACTGAAGCACGTTGATCTAGCTCAAAGAAAGGGCACAACTATCAAGTGATGTTTCCCTGTTATGAAAGTTGGCTAAGCCTTTGATCAATTATAATTACCAATAACAAGGATACAAGAACTTAAAGCCTGACTATTATGTCATCCAGGGTTCCTGGGGATGGTGATATAGTGCTCAAGTAATATAGGACTTTGGACTACCAATTATAATGAAAAGATAAGAAAAGTTTTTTATAATAAATCAGGGCGTCTGGTTTAGAAACAGAAGGCTGAGATGGCAGGCATTGAAGGGTTCTTAGTATATTGGAGAAAAAAGAACGTTTCTCTTTCTTGTCTTAACACCTTCAAGATTGCAAGAGTGGAAATAATGGAAATGGCCTGATTTCATTGCCTTCTTTTGCAAGTGTTTTGATCATTCCCTGTTTCTTCATACATGAAAACACTGTATGTTGAACAGGAATATAAAGTGCAAGAATTTAGAGAATCTTTGCAAAACAAGTGCACAGTGGGTTTGACAAAAACAGTTTCAATAATTTCAGAAAAAAACAATATTGAAAGAATAAGAGTGTTGGACACTTACGTCTGTTGATAACTGGAGGCCTTGGAAGCTCATCAGCTACTCCACGAGTGGGTATGGCGAAGTCATTCGTGTTGGTTTGATTAAGCAAAAAGTTTGGAGTAGGATTTGAGATCTCTTCCTGAATTAACAAAGGCATCAAACCAGGTTTAAAACAAAAAATTCATTTCTCTGGATTCTATGAATGTACGAATAACAAGCAGTAGTACTACTTATTTGTTAAGAGCCAATTACTAATGTTTAGCAGCTTAATCAGAAAAAAAATTATGGTCGTCTTAAAATTCCCTATATATATCATCATATGTATATATATACCAGAAGATTATGTGAAGGAGAGAAGAAACTGTGAGCCAAATGAAACTGATTAGCCGATGGCAGAAGCAACCCACGCATGTTCACTGGCAAAAGATTGGTGCAGTGCCCGCATCGAACCGTTACAGTCTTGAACAAACTTGTGCAAGGAACACTGACCTACATACCACAAAACAAAGAATCCCCAAGTGAAAAACATCACCCTTATAAAGGAGACTATATAGAAAGGACTTAACAAAGAAAAGAAAAGGAAAAAAAGACAGCCCTAAGTTAGACCCTCATTGGTGAACAAAAGGAAAGTGAAAGTGAAAGGGGAAAGTTGAGGATGAGCAAAGAAGGCAAACAGTGGCTAAGAATACCGCAAGGACAGTGTCGCAAATGTTGCAATGAACATAACAGAGCTGCTCCGAGGGAGGGAGATGGTCCAAAGACAAGGTAGTCGACGAGGAAGACATCTTCTTTGATTCCCCTTTCCTTTCTCTTTTAAAATTGATTGATGATTGCTCTCGTTGGTGGGCTAGATTGATTGATTGATAGAATGACAGCTTAACCACCACCTTGGATCTGCTTTTCTTGATTATGAGTTGTGATATAAAGAGAGAGAGAACGAGTATGAGGAAAGAAAGAGAGAAAAGATGGATGATCTAGTTGGTCTACTAGATACAAGACGGCAAAAGAGAGAAAAGAAGGAAAAAAAAAACAAATAGGAGAGAGAAATTCCCTTTTCTTTATTCCTTCTTGTTAGAGTTATTTTAAAAGAGTATAATAATTTTTTTTAAAAAAACTTTTGATAGACAATTAAAATTATTTTTGTCATTGGTATCGACATATTAGATCTATATGATATATTCAGTGTTATATTAACTTGATATTATTTTTATTATCTTTTGATAATCTCATATAATTTACTTATAAATATAAAAGTTTAAGCACTGTTAAGACAAATTGAACCTATTACATTTCTCTCATTCCTATTTCTTTTCCGACTTAAATATTTTTTATTTGTATATCAAAATACAAATATAAAAAATACATCATACTTTTATCTTTGACCATCATTTTTTTTTGTCTTTTCAAAAAAGCTGAGGTTGGAGCTCGACAATAACATTTCTGTTTATTGGTCTTATTTTCAGCTCACATGTATGAATGTATGTACGTTACCCCATCATAGCATCATGCATCCATGTCATACAAACACGCATATCATGAACTGATGATGTGTGTAGTTGGCATTCCCAAGCCAAAGTTTGTGTTTGTGCGAGAGAGTGTGTGTATGTGCGTGTGCGAGTGCGTGTGAGAGAGAGAGAGAGAGAGAGAGATAGAAGAGGGCTGAGGCGGCAGATGTTGGGGAGAGGAGCAAGAAAGAGACGTATGCATGAGGTGACATAGCTTTCACGTACTCACCTGTTGTTTTCAGCAGTTAAGAAATGTGTTTGCTTTCTGAAAATACTATTATTCACCTCAATTTCCGAACCCAGAAACCCTACCCTCCTTTCTACCTCCCGGATAATAAGCCCCTCACCTCTCAAATCTCACTCCTATCAGCTCCCCGCTTCCGCCTCCTAAGGGCTCTCCATCCCATCTCCATCCATCATCATCTGCATTTATTCATTCATACAATACACATAACATGAAATCATAATTTCATCATGACAAAATCATCAAACTCCATGCTTTTATATATAGTTTTACGTACATTATATATATATATATATATAAAACAAAAGACAAAAAAGTTAAAAAAACCATAATTCAATGTTATGTGTATTTATTTAGAGCAGAAAGGTTACTTTTGGTGAAATGACCACTCAATCTCTCTCGACTTACACGCAGACAGAAACATATTTAAGTCAGTTGTAACCCGTCTGACAGTGGCCACAGACTTTGCTCCCCTGTTACAATCTTTGTCCTTTCCTAAATTTCTATTTCTTTTTGGCTTATGTTGGCTAATTTGGTTGGAATCTTTTCACGCTTTCTTTTGTCACCCAGAGATCTCTAGGGTTTTTGTTATATTTTCTGCAAACCTACCTATCCTAACTTTGCTTTGATAAATCGTTCCTAGGCCAAATCTCAAATGCCAATTCTCTCTGTTGAATGTTCTTTTCTCTTCATTTTTTCCCCATTAATCATTTTTTTTAACCCTTCTCTTCATGATAGATAAAGAACTGAACAATTAAGGAAGAATTAAAGTTGCTTACTATCCATTGAGTTGTGGGAATGGGGACCTGCATTTGTAAACTTGTATGCCACAGCAACACGTTAAATGCAAGTATAATTGAAATCAGAAAGGACAAAAAAACAAGCGAAATTTATATAGTTTCTTGGCCTTTTACTGGCCATCAAAACGAGGTATTCAAAATTTAAATCATACCCATTGCCATGCTGAAAGGAAGTTAGCCTGACAATGATCTGACACACACTCTTGAATGAGTCTTTTGCTCAAAAGTCAAATTTGAAAGAGACCAAAGGCTAGCTATTTGCTGGCGGCTTTAATGTAAAAAATAAACAAATTAAATCCTTGAGCAGTACAAAATGGAAATTTTTTTGTTTCTCTCCTTCAAGGACTTCAGTACATATATGAAACAATTGATATTGTGCGTTTGGATCATTCATTATTGTGAAAATGCAATCAAGAACTTCATTAACAGTTTTATAGTTATCCCAAGTACTTATTTAGATATAAGTTAATAAAGGAACCAACATTAATGTAAAAAGTTAATTAATAGTATATATAATCAAATCAATAGCTATGTATGTATCAATCATATTATTTATTTTTCTTTTTTGTAAAAAAGAGATGTTGAGATTTGAATTACATACTTATTGAAAATCACTTTTTTTAAAGTGATTGCATGAGTTAATTATGTTAAACTTCAGATTCATAAATCATTTTAACTTTATAGCTAAAGTTTTACCATTCAAATCAATTTGATATTCTAAATCTATAAATAAGCAAATAGATGCATATTTATATATATATATGTGTGTGTGAAAAATGATTACTTAATTTTCATTGTTTTTTCTTCTCTGAATGTTTACCACTTACCAGCTGGTACTATTATGACGAATTAAACCACTCCTTCGAAGGAAAAGCAGTGCATATGTAGTGATCCTCCCATTCTGAAGGCTACATGCCTACATAGATTTTGCGGGTATATACCTTATGAGTTAGGATTATACCAAACAATAGGGCAATGGGTAAAAGTAATAAAAACTACATATATATAATCTGACTTGACGCTATATATGCTTCTAAGTTAGCATATATATGTATTAATAGATTTGTTTTGAATTTTGCTCAAAATTGAACGTTTAAGATGAAATTTATCCTTAAATATATGTATTGTATATGCATTAGCGTTTTGTGGGGATAGGGCAAATTAGATCCAGAATCTGACGCAACATTCTGAATTAACTGCTAACAACTGGCCCTCTTCTGCTAGAGCACGAGGCTCGAGCTCCTACCACTCTACATCAGCCTACTTATTAAAAAAGAAAAGCCGGTTTAACCCCAATTTAATCCCACTGTTTCTAACTTTGGGGGTCATGAGAATGATAATTGGCTTAATACTTTGATTATGGTCGTGTGATAACCTTTTTTTTCCTTTGGTTGTTTTGGGACAAAAGTTAAAAAAAAAAAAAAAAAACTGATGAGTTTCCTTTGCTGCTTTGATACATGAGCCATATATACAGGACTTTAGTTTAGGACTAGGAGGTGATAATTAATGTTGGAATAATCCAGGCATTAATATAATTAATTAGAATGAGTACTCGACATTCTCTCAACAGACCATAGTGTTAATTCTACTATAGTATGTCAATAATCATCTATTTTAAATTGTCAAATTTAAGATTTGTATTTTATTGCTAATTATATTGATAAGAAACATCCCCGAGGATAAATTTGACAATTAAAATACTACATTAATATGTGCATTAGAAACAATTAGGTATTTTCTAAATTATTTCATTGACATGTTTTGTTTCAAAAACATATTTAATTCGGAGAGATTAATTAGATTTCAATTTGAAACTTTTATTTTTCCTTTTTTCTTAGGACTTGTATGATCAACCTGAAAGGCAACTAAGTTATGTCTTTGGCTTGTTAAGGAATTTTCCATTAACATAAACCAAATAATAAATACCAAATTCACAAACAAAATAATTTAGAACATTAATTTGAAAAAATATGAGAAAAGCAGAAAGAAATAATATTGTATTTGTATATAAAAAATTATCCTATATAACAGGTGATGAAGTTTATAAAATACTTCACAAATGAAATTAAAAGATTAAAAATCAGATTATAGTTATGAAAATATAATAAATAAATTATCAAATGAATTCGTAATAATTCGAATTACTTTAGTTGTAAAGTTTAAAAACTTTGCACCATCAATATGTAATTAGAATTATAATAACAATTCATTATATATATGTATATATATATACTAATTTGATTAATCCTTCAAAAAATATATATATTTTTTTTGGTGTTTGGCTTTGAGTTATATATACATACTAATAAATTGATTTCACTAATGAGTAATGACCCGTCATAGATCGGCTGGCTGGATGTTGGGTAGTGATTGTGTATACATACAAGTATACGCATGCATTCATGCCTACATGTACGAATATAAAGAAAAGCAGTCTGTCTATGTATAAAGCCTGCAGAAGCTATTTGTTGCTGTTTGTGGGGTATACCACCATCTCTCTTTCTTTCTTATGGCTGATGCCTGTGCAAGCTATGATGGTGGGGTTGGGTAGAAATCGATAAAGTTGATATTGAATTTGGTGTGTGTTGGTGTTGTGTCTGATTTTTTTGTGGGTTTCTCCCAAGTCCCAGACTGAAGCTGTCTTGGCTTTTTTGCCTCCCTTCAATTCCCTCTGGGATTAAAGTACGTACGAGTTCAAGAGGGAACTGAATAGCTAGATATATAGATTCATAGCTCTGCCGTAGGCTTGGCTTGGACTTGGATCTGATCTGGATATGGTATTGTTGGTGTTACCCCACATGCTTTTCCGGCTTATTGTAGCAGTTATAAGTTAACTCTGCTGCATGGGCAATTGGAACTTTTTGTTGTTTCTGAATCACACATTAAACCAGGACATCCACTTCAGAATTCAGAATTCACGCTCACCAAACAGGATCAGGATGGGTTGGATTATTGGAGGAAAAGCATTAACCATGCAACAAGCACACAGATTTCAGTTCCTGCAGATTTATATTTCATTCTGTTTCAAGTTTCAATAGATGAAACTAGTTTGTTCCTGGCAACAATATAATTAAAAATTAGCTAAGAAGTATATTTTCAAATATCTTATATATATTTATGCTTAAGGCATATATAATGCATATGATAAAACAAACTTGAGCTTGTCGGTTGTGCATTTGAGTTTTCGTTGACCCGGTTTGAAACTATTAGGTCAAGAGATGGCCGATTGGTACTGTTAATATCTTTTTTTTTTTGTTCTGACCAAAAAAAAGAAGAAAAATTTCATTATTATTTAATTCTTGGAATGCTTCTATGTCGAACTGCCCAATACTCAGAGTTCAGACTGCACTAGAGCCTTACATCATGGGCCCGCATCTTCGGTCCAGAAATTTCCTTCTGGGACTGGATATCCTGAACTTTAAGGCCCATACTGGCCCACTAAGAAGCCTGCAGAATGGAGGGCCACACTCCGAAGCCACAAACAACAAATAATTATTTTATATTTTCATGATTTAAACTTGCCATTGCAATTTGTAAGATTTTTTTAAAAAAATATTTAATGCAAAAAAAAAAAAATAACCAAAAGGAATTGGTATTTAAAAGTAATTAATATATATATATTTAATGCATAAAAAAAAAAAAAAACCAAAAGGCAACCTGACTTAGCTCATAATAGTCTGGCCATATAAATAAATGGTTTTTCTTCCATTGATTGTGTGAGAGAGAGAGAGATGTAAACTTGCAACTTAAACAAAGGATGTCCAAGCCTTATCAAAATTCTTAGGATATTATTAATTTGAATAGAGTGCATTTAAAGAATTTGATCTGTATGCATAATTCCTATACCGACATATACAGTACATTGCAAGAGATAAGTCAGGTATATGAATAGAATTTATTTATATATATGCATACAGATCAAATTTTATAAATGCACTCTATAAAGGACTGTGAGAACGAAACTTATACTAGTATTTGCTTTTTCACTTCTGGATAAACAGCAAATTTGACTATCTTGATCATAATTTTTTTGTTTGTTGGAGCATCATTGATCTATCTTGTGACTGCCCATCCGAATGTTCCAAACTAGGCTTCACTCACAGTTTAAAAGACAGTGGGTTTAATTTAGGAGTTGAGATTGTCTAATGAAATTTCAGGGCAATAGGTGGAGAGCAGAAGCCTATCTCTGCTCCCAAGTCAAGCATACACCACTTATTAAAGAAATCAATCAAGTTGCTTGAACTTTACATTTTTTTTTTTTTGGGGGGGGGGGGGGTGTTCTAGTGGACCAGCAGACAGGCCCCAAACAGAGAAGAGCTCAACATCGATAATTGAACAAAGGATTGGTTGTCCCCTTTATGGCTAACTCTCAAGCGTTTCCAATCAGGGTATGCCACCCTTTTAGCTAGTCATTCTGTCTATTTTCATCCTTGTGCTTCAATAAAACCTTTCATCATTGATGGCATGACATTCAACTCAAATCTCATCATCCAAATCAATGTGATCCAACTCGTTTCAATACAGGGAGAACAATATTAATTTTCAACAAGCATACATAATAAGAATTATGATTATCATACAACATAAGGAACCATAGGATGAAAAATGCTGTCACATTTTCTTCTAGTACATACCTTCTGCATATACAGTGCATTGCATAAATTATTTCCTATAGATTAATGCCAATCATTGACTAACTATTTTCAGTAAATATATAATTGTTTTATGTATTCAAACTAGCTCAGGTCGTTCATTTGCAACACTTTGTGAGATACATACGTACATACACACACATATATATATATATATATATGTATTTGTACTACTTGCCATAAAACATTTTTTATTCTCACAGTATGTCAACTATCCTGAAGAGATAATGGCTAATTGAGACATAAAAAATGGATTAAGTAAGTCTGGACTCCGGGTACGGTGGAGGTTTGGGATTTGAGAAACTAGTGAAGCAGGCTAATAATGGTGCCTAACATGGAGATTTTGTTTTCACATGGTCAATGATGTTATCTTACTTAGTCTGCAAACAACATTTTTAATCAACGCTAATTATTCAGTCAAATCTATATGCATCAATGAGAGCATGGTCTGCTTGCTAAGGGCTTGGCAGGCAGTGAAATGAGGCCACTCTCTCTCTCTCTCTCTCTCTCTTATTCTCACATTGGTTCAGAGAATGGATGGTAATTCTATTCTGTTTCTGTGAACTAACTCAATTAGAGAGGAAGCCATGAATATACAAAGAGTGCAAATGAAACCCTAAGGAGAAAAGACTAAAACTTCATGTCAAACTTAGTCAGTAAGAAGCACTTTCTAAGCTTTAATTTTATCATTCTGCTTCTTTCCAATGAGGAACACTTCGGCTTGGCATGCCTCTCTTCAAGTTAGACTTGTTCCATTATGAGTCCATGAGAGCACGCCCAATGATTATGTCGCTTGGGAGAATTTTCATTGCTTTAAAGGGATTTTCATGCTTGACTTCAACCCAAGTAAAAGGATGTTCTCCAAGTGAATAACAATCAAAGAATTGTACTACTTTTCTTGCCGGTTAGTCCTATTATCCATTATTACTAGATTCCTAAATTGTTTGTTTCCCTTCCTCCTGGTATTTAAACCAAGCTGGTAAATTTTCAAAGCAGACTTCACGTTGTCAATTGCAGCCACCCTCTCCCTGACTATTCTTTGAACAATGTTAGCTCCTTCAAGTTTTGCAAGGCCTGAGCAGCAGATCTGGGAGGCAGAAAATATATATCAATCTCTGTTGAGCCAGAGTTTAATGACATTTTGCATGTCAAATGTCTGTCTGCCTCCATCTTAATTCATCTTCTTGAACAGGTATGTAGCTACACCAAAGGCATATCCTGGTAGTAAAAATTATTCCGACAAGAATTTTTTTTGAAAGGAAACTTTGGTCAATCTTCTTTTACTTCTCCTTCAACTTAATTTTAGACAAAATTTAAGGAATGATTTTGTGAATAGAGAATTACTATTAGCATCTAATCTCTTTGTCCTGAGTTTTGGAAGAAACACTTTTTTTTTCCCATTATAATGCATGCTCTCTTGTATCTCACATTTGGCAGTTGATATCCTTCAACTATTAAGTACAACCTTTCTAATAAACGGGTGGGAAGTGTATGACCATTATTTTGCTTTGTGCTTTGCTTTTATTATAGCAAAGACCATTTTTAACTCATCATCAAGTACATGCATTGCCGGTAGGAGATAGCTAGCATACCATTTTGCTCTTTTCATTTGTAATAACTCTGAGCTGCTGGCTTATCTTCATTCGACTGATTACTTCAATGTTTAAGGAAGGTTCATTTTAGATATAGATGCAAAACTACTGTTCTTAGCATGTATCATATCTGCAGCATGAGTTGGTCTACAAAGTAGAGCATTTGAACTTTAAAGTAGTAGTCGGCTTAAAATAATATTCTAATAAGGTTCATTTAAGAATAGTATAGCTCAAAAATTGTTCTTTCTTCACAATTATATGTTGCCTTATTATTGTCCTCGCTGAACGCTGATTGATAGTTTCCTGGATCCAACCACACTAATAATATTACTCCACACCTGCTGTGAAATGATAGGGATTTTCCTTTAGAACAACCTTGTCATGATGTTGCAGATGAGAGGAAATTTGTATGTGCTCATACGCTCATACATCAACTGGAAAAAAAGAATCTAACCACGATATTTCAAATTTGAATTAGAGTTTGGTCATCGAATGCTGAAAAAAAAATGCAACTTGTGTGATTAACAGGCAAAAGATGTAAGCTCTAGCTAGCTGCCAATGTAAAAATTTTTCTTTCAAGATTATTTTTCTTTTAAGAAGGAATCTCAGCCAAACATTAAATTTTCATTAAATTAAGCATTCCAAAGAGATCAGTTACAGAAAAACAGAAGTACAGTGATAATCAAGCTTTTTATCAAAGGGATAAACTTTTGTTTTTTTGAAAATTTATAAAAGAAAGATGAAACAGTTAAAACAAAACTTCAGCTAGAGGGAGATGAGAAGAGAATTAGCAGTTACAATATTTGCAGCAGCTCTATATATATATATATATATATATATATATCAAGTTGAAAACATATTGATCCAAGAAAAACAAAGATTACAATAAAGAAACCCTTCATATGTATATTAAGCTGCAAATACATTCAATATGAGGCCGAGTGAGTCCCAAAGCGCACTCGGCCAGCCATAGAGCACCTGAAAGTACTATTTATTATTTGTACTTGCATAATGTTCAATCTAATAGTAACTGCATGCCTAGTATTAATCAATACAAATTAAGGGCACCAGCAGTCCCATAGCTAATGCAATACCATTATATATAGTTTTATTATGTACAGAAACCTGGATTAAAGACTTCTTTACTCTTATACGTGTGTTTCCTATAATTAGTATGTATGCTTTAATTGCTAGAATATGCTTTCACTTCCACAGATCAATTTGACAGCACAAAGTGGATGCGGAGGCATATTCCTGATGAGCAATTTGTGGCCTTTTGGATTCATTGGCTAGTAAATTCATTTGTTCAGCCACATGAAAGCTGGTGGTTGCATTTGAGTAGGTGTTTTCTTTGGAAGCTTCCTCATGGCTTAGCTGAGAGGCAACAAATTTGTCAAGAACTCGCCAATCTGTCACTTGATCCACAGCTTGTTCAGTACTATTGTTATAAAGCGAGTTCAGATTTTGCTGATGCCCTGGGTGCACGTGCTCTTCTTGTGTGAGGGTTGAGGATTGCAAAGTGCTTCCATTGTTCCTATCATAACCGTAAGGAACAACAGGGTTGCCGCTTACACTTGCAGCAGATTGTGGGACTTTGGGACTTTCCAACTGAGGAAGCTGAAGGAAAGGGTCATGAGGCAAATTGTATTGCAACTCAAGCTCTTGTTTGCAGGGATAATGGTGATGATATGATCCATAAGGCTGAGGAATTCGCCTTGGGGAATCAAGTTCCTGCATGAATGAGACCTGGTCATCGTACCAACATGAAGATTCATATTCACCCACTTTTCGCACTGTTGTCATTCGCTTCTTGAACACCCTGCAAACCACCCATCCTTCTTCCTGGTGGAATAACAAAGACATCAAATTAGTCATAACTTATAACTATTAAAGCTTCAAGGAGATTGCATATCCGTGCATGCCTGTACATGTATATGAAAATGTACAGACATGGAAGTGCACCAAATGTTTGTGAACTTAGAAAAAAAATTACTACAAGTATTGGCTGCAAACATTGCTTGTGAGAAATTAATTCATGCCAAAATATCTTTCTATATTTTGATGGTCATATATACAGCAGTTACTACTTACTAAAGTAAGCTAAAGTAAACAGTAAATATATATTTTTACTCACCTGGGGAGTTCCATTTTCATTCGTTTCTAGTCGATATTCATGCATGATCCAATCTGATTTTTGTCCATTGGGTGCTCGTCCTTGGTAGAATACTAGGGTTTTTCTCATGCCAACAAGACTATGCCTGGAGTAAATAGCCTTGTCTCTTCCAGTGGCTTTCCAAAATCCTGCTTTTGTTGCTCTATTAGTGCGAGTACCTGTTGGATACTTCTTATCTTTGTGGCTAAAGAAATACCATTCATTCTGCTCCTCAGTTCCTATTCTGCACAATTCTGTATATCCAAACAAACCAAAATAATCAATATCAATGGTTGATTAAATAATTCAGAAAAAGGGCTTTTTTTTTTGTTCTTTTAAATGCTGTTGCCTGAAACAGTGTGAGAAGAAATGGGAGTATTGCTACCTTGCAGATCCCATGGTTCAATCTTATAAAGATCAACATCTTTGATGACATCCAGATCAATCCTTTTTGAACCAATCTTTTTTCTGAGGTAGTAATCAACAAGTTCTTCATCCGTGGGATGGAACCTAAAGCCTGGCGGAACGTGCGAAAAGGTATTCATATTCTTCCAAAAGAAAGACTCAAAATCTGCATTAAATGTGCAACAAATATAAGCACATAAGGATATAAAATATGAAAAAAGTAAAACAATTTCTTTTTCTTTACAATAAAAACAGTACTGTAAGTATAATTCAAAAGTCAGGAATATATCATGCTTGTGAATGACACAATTCGATACTAAATTCCAATGAAATATATATATATATATGCACTACAGTTTGACATATGCTCTCCATCCCAAATACCAGGCATCAGAAGAAGCACAGTTGAAATGTATGATAAAAAAATCACATAACTTTGATTTGGTGTGAATCAAGATTATATTTCTCAAAGTCATACAAAAATCCATATAACCAGGAAACAGAAGTTAATATATGGAGAAAAACTACAGATTACTTTCTACTTTTGGTTACCTTCCATGAAAATATTATCCAAGCATAGCTATACTTATGAAGAAAATAATCATGCTGAATTCCACCTTTTATTGGAGCATAGCGCAGATCATACATGAAGGAATATCAGATGCTCCATGTAGAAGACCAAACTATATGCTGAAACGAAAATCTCTTTGAGCATGGAAATTAATTAAAATGCTTATATTTTGCCACATGATATACGTTAGGACAACCAAAAATAGCCTATAACAGTTCCATGAAAAAGGAGTAGATGCAAAATATATTATTTGGATAAGAGTTTACATTTAATACATTGTTAGTATATAGATGTGAATAAGATGATGACAACTTATTAATGAGGTGAATCTGATTATAATATCCCGTTAATAAATAAATTATTTTAATTTATGTAAATTTATTTTAAAGATTGATATTTGCTCATTGATGAGTTGTTATTATCTGATTCACTGATATACACTGATAGTGTATAGAATTTATACACTGACAGTGTATTAAATATAAACTCGGTTAAGGATTAGAAATCATAGCTCTTTTCATACGAGAAAACTTGTCTTATAAGTACATCCAACCTAATCATTATTAGATACAATGAACTTTTTTTTTTTTTTTTTTGTTTCTTGTTGACAAAACTCTTGTTTTGGTAGTAGACTGCATTAGGATAAAGCAATTCCCTTTGGATAATGTCTAAATCAAGAGGGAATTGCTTTATCCTAATGCAGTCTATTACCAAAACAAGAGTTTTGTCACCAAGAAACAAAAAAAAAAAAAAAGTTCATTGTATCTAATAATGATTAAGTTGGATGTACTTCTAAGACAAGTTTTCTCATATGGAAAGAGCTATGATTTCTGATCCTTAACCTTTCTAATGCACAATATATAGTAAGTTGCGTTTGAGTTCCATATCTAAAGTTGGCTACAAAATGCTCATGCTGCTCTCTATGCTACACCAAAAAGGCATTTTCTCATATGCATACATAGACTAAAACATATATTTTATCTTAATGTATAATTACCAATAGATCGGGATCTAGGATATAAAAATTCTCAGGAAGAGTGTAACCGGCATGCTTTTAATTCATTTAATCCAATCTTCTTCTTTCTCTTACAAAATTTAGGGTAATTAGCTGTAGATTTAAAACTTGTAATCTAATTTTGGATACTGTATAAAGGAAAACCTCGGTCTTTTTGTTGTTTACTTGTGAAAGTTGTTATCGAATTAGTCCTATTAATATTTCATAGTTGATCATGGTGGAAACTCACGATGAGTAAAGAAAAGAAGGAATATGATGAGATATTGGGAAGAACAAATTATAAACGCTTCATCACTCGTAAAAACCATGGCTATTCACTTGTGAGATTTAACTAATATCCTAAAGTAATAAAATGTACAAGATAGAACTAAAGTTTTCTTGTATTTCATCTATATATATGTTATATGAATGGAGAGTAAATAAACATCAATAAAGTGTTTCTCCACTCAAAAAAGTGAATTCTGGATAGGTATATGGGAATCTAAATTTTAAAATCTTTGCCTTGTGAGACAGGCATAAGATGAGCAGTTGTTTAAGAATAGCCATACATAAGACGATATTATATGAAATCTTGAAAGTTGATTATAATGAATGATATTCATAAGAAGAAGAAGAAAGACTAATGATACATAAAACTTTTAATAATTCTTTATTCTTCTTTAGTGATTCTTTATTCTTCTATAATAATTTGGAGAAGACAATTCTATGCCCCCCAATAACACTAGGAAATGATTTTAGACAATTCATATAAAGTGGGATCTAAAGTCAGCCATGTGATGTACAGAAACAAGATTAATCCTCTAGTTGTGATCCCTAAAAAAAAACTATTATAATTCAGAAATTAAAGGAAAAAAAAAGAAAAATGTAGCCAGAGAACTTGAAAAACCCAGGAAATATGAAGAAGAAAAAACAAAGACCTTAGTCCCCTGGATAAAATATCACCAAGTAACTAGGAGAAATAACACAATAAAAAAGAACATACTTGGGATCCATGAAGCAAGTATATATATATGGGAAATTAAAGAACATCAAGATCAAACTGAAGCCATGTTGAGGCAAAAAGCAATCTTCAGGAGAAGTGATCAAATAGTGAAAGACATCATATATATCTTATATAGTTTCATAATTTCATTGCCTAGCGTGTACCAAAAGCATCCTCCACTACTTCATCTTTCTTAGGTAATGATCATCACAAAAATATCCAAAATATAAATAATCAAAGAAGGATAAAGAAAAGAAAACAACAAAGAAAGGAGGAGGAGAAGAAGAAGACATAAATAAAGAAAGAGGAAGAGAAGCTCACAATAACACAAGCTTGATAGTTCTCTACAGCCCCACTACCGTCTTCAACTCAAACTATTTAATCCTCAGAGATCTGATTGAAAACGAGCCTCGTGTGTTTGCACTAATCAACGTAAAGCTAAGAAACTTTAAGCCAATTAACTTTTTTGTTCACACTCTTTTAGCTTTTAGAAGGCCACAATACTTGAACCAGACAAAAAAAGCACAGAAAGGAAGGCAACAACAGCAGGAACAAAACAAAGAAAGAAAGGTGGGTGTAATGAAAAGATATAACCCACGGGAATTGAACTGAAACCCCCCTAACTCTTTTGTAGACTCAACAACTTGTCCACCAGTTGTCGGAAGGGGAGGAGGGAGATCAGATCCCAAGGAAAGGAGAAAAGAAAAGGGGGGTGACGAATGGGAAAAGAGAGAAGAGATAGGGTTATATAAGAAGGGAAAGGAGAAATGAAAATGAGTAGTGCCAAGAAACACACACACATGCCCTAATAATCTATCCCTCTCAAATATTCTCTTTCTCTCTCTCTCTCTCTCTCTCTGACTATTCTTTTTTTTTTTTTTTTAAAGTGGAATTAGAGTTTGATTGCTGGAAAAGCTTTGCGGGAAAAAAAAGGGAGGCGGATAATGGTTCAGGGAAGATTGAGAGCAAGAGTCCTTGAGAGAGATTTATGTGCTAGTTAATATAGGTACAATTACCAAAGAAAGAGAAAGAGAGAGAGGCTGCAACCTCCAATGCCACCCACCAGCTACTGATAAAGACCAGAAACAATGTTTAACTCGCTCTTTTTTTTTTCACAGAAAACAGAAAGAAACCAGATGATCCGACGGTAAAGATTAAATGGGCAGCTCAAAAAAGCCTTTAGGGGGGGAGGGGTTGCATTAATGAATAAGAGGTACAAAAATATTGAAGAGATTTTTGGTGCAGTGAAGAGCTAAGGCCGTACGTAGTCATCCTGCCAAAAGTTACACAAACCTTCCATCCGATCATTTCTCACTTTTTTTTGTTATTTCTTTCTAGCTTTTTTTTTTTATTATTTAAAGAAATTAAATTTTCTTTTCCCTTTTTTTCTTATAATCTTTTTTTTTTCACCGCGTGATGCACACCATGAGATTCATCATAATAACAGGGATACTACCATTGTAGAATATGATCTACATGCTCATTTTTAAGGGGGTGCACAGGGGATAAGGGTTTTCACCTTTCACCTTTTTTTCTCTTCTCATTGCTTATCTATATATCTCCGCTAAATATTAGATTTATTTTAGAATTAAAATCACCTTTCATGACGATGGAATGAAAAGAAATTAATGTGTTCAAGTTTACGTAAATGTACAAAGTTTATTCACTTGCAATAATACGTAAAAAAACATTCTTATATTCTAATTTCCAAAACAGGAGATAAGACAAAATTATCTTCAGTCTTATAACTCAACTCGAAAAAATTTTTCATTGTGTAAAATAAAGTTTATTTATAGTAGTAACTTTGATAGCTTACATTCAATGAGTTTTTCTATACAAAATATTAAAATCGGATAAGTTTTTGGATATTTGTTTCAACTTTTATTTTTCAGGTAAAAATAAACATTTACTCAACCCCTTGCGTTAATTCACCATCCAATATTAAGTATATAAAAAAAAAAAAAAACCCAGAAAATAATATATATATATATATATATGTAGCCAACGTCCATGACTTTTTTGCTTCTTTTCATTAAATGAAAACCTAAATTCTAAAATGAGCAAAAGCTCAAACCAAAACAATAAAAAAAAAGCTCAAAAAGTGCAAATATTTTAATGACATAATCAAACTAATACATCTAAGAGAAGCCCTTTTAAATAGGCCTGCAAATTTTTGTTCTATCTATCCACTATAAAACATATAAATATAACCTTGATTGTTTTATTTATCTTTAATTAATTTTTTCTATGGTAAGTTTTACCAAGCTTTGACCCCACGAACCAACCCTATACATGTCAGATAGCAACGCTTCTCCAAATTACGCATTTAAAATAATATTGAAATTTCCTTTAGAAATACTATATTGACTCGGCTGAGCCCCATATTCAAAGCCAAATAAGCCAAATATTTATATGATAATTATCCTCTTTAACAAAGAAAATTAGCACTTTTAGCATGACTACTATATTTTTAGTATATATATATTTTTTCTATGTATAGTGGAGAGTGGAACCCACAATACAGAACGTTGTGTCGGGGGCTCAGGTCAGGGACGTGGCGGCTAATGGTCCGGCGTGGAATAGCCTATGATCATTAGGCTCACGATTTTGGGCTGCAGGTTGGCTCTTTCAAGTGGGCCCTACCGGTTATCCCAATTGGGGCCCACTTCCGTGGGAGTAATTTACATATTTTTTGTTATTATTTTCACTCTTGATTTATACAGTGCTTATACTTACCGAGAAGTAAAAAGGCAAATATAATTATATTATTATATAATTGTGCGGTTTTTCCATAGTCTGGGCCATCGCCTAGGGTTGAGGATTTGTGTGTTTTTTTTTTTGTTGGGACAAAGTATAGAAGTGAAGCAAAAGTCTCCAACGTTATCCAAGTGTCATCTTGGCCCCAACCTTGCTTGCTTGGCCTTGTGCCATTCGACCCTAAAACCTCTACACATATATATATGGACTTCATCATAGTTTATTTAATTATTATATTGATGAATTTTTTTTCAATTTTTTTTTTAAAGTTATCTTTTAATTAAGAAAAAGAAACTAAGAAAAGGATAAACATGACAAATAACATGGGTTTTGTTGGATGGGAGTGGATGGTGGGAAGCTTTGATCATCACAAAATCAAAACAAGGGAGAAACGCGAACTGGTCAAATAAAAAATTGGGTTCTCAAGCCTGTCATTTCGGTTCAAACATATGACATTGTCGAATGTACAAGAAGACAAACAACTTGTTTATTTATTAATAAAAAGAACTATATATGTTGGTTAGGCCTCGTACGGATCAGAAATGTTTGCAAAGACACTTGCATTATTTTTCTATATATATATATATATATTGTTTTATAGACGTTGTTGCAATTTGATTTTTGGTTTAGATTTTGTTGCGTTGCAAATAAATGAAATATCTATTGCAAATTAAGGTTTTGTGAAGAGGAATCATTGAATGAAGGCAAGTGGGGTGAGCTGAATCCCAACTAATGGTAGGGTCTCTTTTAATCATTGCTAATGTAAACCCATTATTGTTTTGGTTCCCCACGTTTAACCAAGGGAATGGGCAACTCAAAAAGACCCAATTAAATTTCGGCAAAAGGTTTCCATGTCCCTTCTCCATTGTCCATTTGCCACCTAGGTCACATTGGTGAGTTCCTATGGGTCACCTACCAAAAATTTGTAAGAACATGATATTTAAAGATCCCAAACCAGAGAACACACACCGGATTTATTCGAATTTTGGTCTAAATCCATAGCTCTGAAATCTTCTCCAGCTTATTAGAATATATATATATATGTATATATCTATATATATATATATATGATCAATCTTTTTTTATATATAAAATGAAGCTACCTAATTGTACTATCCACTTTGCCAGAGAAGAATCAATCTCCAAATGTCTAACCCAGTCAAAAAGATGCCATCCATTTTCACTGTTTTGAACTCTAATAAATCTGTAAACAATATCATATATATATATATATATATATATATATATACTATTGATGTCGAGTTTCCAATTGAGGGTCAAGACTTTGAAATCACAAAAAAAAAAAAAAAAAAAGAGTGGTTAGGAGCAAAGGCATGGATAATTTTTACATTTGTGCTTCATGTTCAAGTCAAAAATCAAAATATGATGAGAGGTCGAAAGGAGAGAAAAATTAAAAAAATAAGAAAAAAACTAAATTAAATAGATAATACATGGATATCTTTATTTATAAATAGAAGGTGAGAGATCTGTAAGATAAAATATTAATGTAGTTAAGTTGACGTAATATTGTATATATCAGATTGACCTAAAAATAAAAAATAACTTTGACTAACTGTTAATAATTTCTAATGAGAGAAAAAACTAATTTTTCCTTTGAATCCAAAAATACTCCTAACACATACTAACACATACATTCATCTTTAAGCCAATTGTAGGAGGTAGCTAGGTTGGGAATTTGTGTTTGGACTAAGTCATTGCTAGAATATATAAATATGTGTGCGTCAACAATGGATCGATATGGAGTAAAGCTTAGGCATTATCAACAAGTAGGCCATATGTTTGAAACATACAAAAACAATTTCAACTGAACATCAAAATTGAAGAAACTGTTTACTAGTTCATTATTCAAAGGGATGTGGGATTAGATTTCCTAGGCTTTTTTCCTTTGGAAACTTTATTCAGGTTCCAAGAATGATAAACATTAAAAAACCCTGAATTAACCTGCACACTGAGAAAGGAAGTTGAGCTGTTTCTGTTTATATCAGTTTTCGAAGTACATGCGCAGAACCACGCGGCAGACAAGAATTTTGCAGATGAAATATTTATTAACAATCACTCTCTGGAATCCATGATTGCAATTTTTACAAAGAACCTAAAATGTGAAGCACGTGGGACATTTGTTTGTTGCGCGAAAACGAACAATTGTACTCGAACACGTCACTAACAGTAAGGATCTTCTGAATTTCATTGATAGACTGAAATCTTCTGCCCTGTCTTCTTGTTCTTGTTTGGTTAGTTAAGCCGTATAGGGTAGAGAAAGGTGACGATGTAACTATATACATGGACAAGAATTTGATTAACTAAAAGATAGCAGCACTAAACACAGAAAAGTAATGAAAAGCAAACCATAGTAATCAAAAAGAATAGCATAGAAGACATTTAATAAACCCTTTTTGGCCTGCATTAAAAACAAAAAAGAGAGTATAAAAGACATTTGTGGCTTTTCCCAATAAATTTTTATTATCTTTGGCCAAATGTAAAGCAGTGAGTTAAAAAAGTTCAAATGTGGTCATTTATTTCATTTAGAAAACAAGAGCCTAACCATAAATACTTTTAAGGAAAAAAAAAGTGTACAAAAAAGTTAGTAGATTAGTATTTTATGAGCTATCATATATATAATTAATATATAGTATTATCATGTTAAACATTTAATTTAAAATTTAATAATAAATAAAAAAATAAAAATCAAATTGAATATAAATTAATTATGATAAATTTGTTACGGATTGAGTGACGTAAGAAAAACATCACTTAATTAAAAAAGTTTTACCTAATTAATAATTTATATCAATAATGTTTGGTCTATAAATCATGAGTTTCTAGTGGAGATGATGCGAAAACAAGTTATTATAATTGATGTTATTAGGATAACTTCTTCTCATGCGTCCTTCTTAAAATCCACACTAATTGCTGAAACTATAGCTGCCACTACTTGCATTATGGCACAACCGCTGATCCATCATATATTCAAGCTAATTAATCTAGAACTTGCTTTCCCAAAATTTGAGTTAAATATGTCTTGTAAAAAGCTAGTTAATAAACCATTATTAAATTTAATAATCATCTTTACCTGCATGGTGTTAAAAGCCATAATTATAGAATTGATCTGGCATAATGCAATAACAATCAATGATCATAAGACATTAATCGTATAATTTTCTTAAATAATCCCAAGCCCATTAATTAAATTAATATATAATAAAAACAATCGAAATCAAAGTTTACTTTTAATACACTAATAATGAAATTTTATAATTTACAAGTGTCACATGTTTCAAATTTTTTTTTATTTTGTATTATATCTTAAAGGATATATATCATTTAATTAATTTTATTTGTAAAAAAAAAATGTATGATAATTTATTTTAATATTTAAGGGTAAAAACTTTTGCTCCCATCCATGAACATTTTAACTAAGAGTAAATTATCATTAAAGGGCACTAATAATTTTGTGATCTTGATAAATATGATACTTTT